GACGAGCAATCGCAGGGTTGCGCATTTACAGTCACCCTTATTGCTCGCGCGATGCTGCTCCCTCTCGGAATGTTGCACCGACGGTCATCGTCACCACCGCGCGTCTCCCGCAACGAGCGCGCGCGCGCGCGCACGCACGTGCACGCGCGCGCTAACGACCAATCGTCGCGCTCCGACAAGCCGCCACCACAAAACGCGGCGTGCTCTTAATAATTATGCCGGACGACTGAACCCCAACCGCACGGACAGGACCGCTACACGTCAACGAAAATCAATGGTTCAATCAAAGTGATTAACTGCTGCAGTCTCCTTTGAGTTATTTTTTTGAACTCTCTCTCTCTCCCTCACCCCCGCTTAGTCTCTAAAGATGTTGTTTTCTTCACGGTTTGGGCTTAGTGCGGGTGCGGTTTTGTTGTTGATGTTTCTCTTCGTCCGTTTGTCCGCGCTCTGTCTCTCTCTCCGTATACGCGAGTCAGCGTTGTTCGTGCACCCGACGCGTCGCGGAATGGGCCTTGACGGACGTGAGCCGTCTTCGTCGCAGCACTCTGTGCCACCTGGGTTAACGCGTGCCACGGCTGGTTATTGAAAGAGTGGAGACTCATGAATAAATAACGATGCTTTTTTGGATATGCTGAATGGACTCATTGCATCAGCAATGAAAGGAGCATGAACCGTGATCACGCAAACCCCGGTCATCCTCGCAGCGGATCGTTGGCTAAACGTCGAACAAAGACGGCGGTCGCTGCATCGCGCGGCGCTTTCAGATCCGCTTCTGTGGCCGGCTGGAACGTTCCTCCTTCCGGCATTAGGAAGGCACTTGAGCCAAGCACTTTTTAATCACCTAGTTTTAAAACTAATTTCTTTAGAACTGCCGTTTGCGTTTATTTTGTTGTTCTTCCCCCGCACCGCCGATTAGCGCGGCTGGCTACCTGCAGCGTGAAATAAGTTCAACGTTCATGTCCGGCCCACGGCCGCTGACTTTTATTTATTGTCAATACGACGTCTCTAATTTGTGCTTGTTCCCCGATCCACGTGTTCCTCTTCATCGCTTTCCCTCTCTCGATGTAGCTGCAAGCAGGGGCCACTTCGTACGCTCACGACGCACGCATCGAATCGCGCGCCTAAGAAACGATGATTTTCAACCGTTGTCTAAAGGGCTCTGGGTTGGTCGTTGCAGGTGCTAGAGGTGCCTACTGCCTACATTCACAGCAGCGTTGAAAGGAGAACAGAGTTGCAACCACAGAAATCACGACAATCGAATCCACGCTTGGTTAGAATGTAGGGCCAGTACAATGGAGCGTGGCGAATGGGTAACTGATCTCCACCTTATAACGCAACCTTACAATAATAATTTACGGACATTTGTTAAATCCGCTACTTCGTCGCAATGATCGATGGCGGGTTTTGGTGACCGGTCTAGATGTATCTGACCGCTGCCGTTAGCCGTGGCCGGGGAATCGAATTCAGGTCACTGGGCCCATAGGCACATCGCGTTTCACTTATCTCTGCCGGGGGCAAAAGACGTCTTGCTTTTATCCACCAGGGCCACTGAACCAAGACACGAATGCGAAAAGCCCCTCCGTGGGCATTGCTACACAAAGCGCAGCACTTTACCCGGCCAGCATTCGCAACGGCGCGGGGGTTTAGCGTCCAAGGCCACGCCTTGAAGTTTCCCCGAGAAATAAATTGCGTTTCTCTCAAATGCAACGCTGACGGCCGCACGCCGGCAATAAAACACTGCCTCGTGTGTGTGTGGAGCGTTGCCAGAGTTCTGTCACAGCCTCCAGTTGACTTGCGCTCAAACGGGGAGGTCGCTCCTCCTCTACTGCAGCTTTCACCGCCAATGCAATTCCCGTCCACTGCCTGTCCGCGCTGATGAGGCCCCCCAACTCCTGTTGAGGATCGAGGCTCAAGACTATCCTCTTGTTTTCCGCCTGCGATTCTCTCTCTCTGTAAAGCGTCTTCGTTTTCATGGCTCAAGCTGACGATGTCCATCATGGCCAAAGCCGTCGATGCTACCACCACACCTCAGGGCCCCGCGATGGCAAAATGTTAACTCCATCGCTTGGTATGCAGGCGGTCGGGGGTTCGATTCCGACAATGACGCCTGATGGATATTTGAAGTTTGCGTGTCTCTCCCCCCCCCCCCCCCCCCCCCACGTGGTCGCGTGGATTTTTCTCCGGGTCCTCCAGTTTCCCCCCTCCACATTTAGAAACAACACGCGCTTAAGAGTATTTCACTCTTATACATTTCCACACGATAAGCCACTTCGTTGTGACCACATCGCTTATGAAAAAGAGCTGTGTAGCTCAGTGGGCCTTACCTGGTAATATTTAAAAGTTTAGTTTGGGTTCAAAGACTCATCGCCAAGCCGCCGCCGCAGCTGCTACACAGTAGACAAGCAAACGTGATGTATGTCCTGTATGTCGAACATATTTCGCACCGTACGTATCGGAGGCGTGACTGCCTGTCACTGACCTGAAGCTGTCTATCTCTGCTTTCCCTGCACAGACATAAAAACATCCCCCCACCCACCTCCCCAAAAATAAAAGAACCCATCTTCTTCATCATTCGACCTCCTTTGCCAGTACCAAAATGTAATAATAGGGTTTTTCCCCTTTTTTTCTGGCAACAACACTGAAACCTTTTTACAAGGGTTCATGTTGCTGCAATAACCACAATACCTGCGGTCAAAATGCAAACAAAAAAACATACTATGATAATATATGCATTGTCCTTGAAACTGATATTATTATTATAACCCATCTTCTGTTAAACTCTAAAGATATCCCCCACTCCCCGTCTATTTGTACATTGTACTCCACTGGATCCTACTCTTCTGCACCAGTGCATTATTCCTACGCGCGGATCTAGCCCGATTGCCAGGCAAGCCCAGCCCCCTTCATGAAATCACAACTTCCAGGCCGCAATATTCTCGAGCTCATTGTTGAAGAACCAGAGCCAGAGCCAAGCACGAGCTTTTTAAAAATAATAATTAAAAAAAAGAATGCACCCCAGACGTTTTAAGAGGTTGCTCGCTAAACGGGGCAGCCGGTAACCCCTCCCCCCACGTTTCAAAAGCGAATCGACCCGGCGGGTTTCATGTCCCAATTACTCCAGGGGCCGCGTGGGCCTTTGCCGTTGAGCCGCTTGCCCATGAGGCTAATCACGACCGCACTTAGCCCAATGGGGCTGCTGTTTGGTACAGAGAACGCCTCCCGTCTTGCCGCTGCCCTGCGCGGCGTTTTAACTTGGCGATGGGGGTGAAACGCGATCGACGAGAGAAGCACGGAATTCATTTCAGCCGGGTCTGTCTGCGTTCGCCAACGCCGTAGGGAATTTCCGCACCCGGCACACCACGTCCAGTCCCCGGTGGAGTTCTCTTTGTCCGTCGGGTGTCTACTGGGGTGCACGGGCGACCTCGAAATATTTATGGATACATTAAGGCCTCATTTTAACTGTTGTCTAGGGCAGGGGTTGGGTCTTTAAGGACTGCTACTTTCGTGACGTTATTTATTAAGGGCCACCGTCCCGTATTCACCACAAGCATTGCCGCTCTTAAAATAGGAGGGTTTTTTTTTTACAGAATCCGAAAAGAATGGCTCTTCTTGTCGTCTTGATTTGCCGACCCCCGGTTTAGGGTCACAATGCGTACACCTTGTGATGTGATGTGACATTGCTTGCCTGGGAGGACAGTGGTTCATGATTACAGATGGAACACAGGCCGGCTGTGTGTGCTAGGATTCCCAAACCCCATTGTTCGTGAGGCACCAGGGGACGTGAATCTTTAAACTTTCGCCATTCTCCTCGGTGAATTGTCGTTTGTCTAATCAAGTCTTTTACACGCTGCGGGTGCCCAATAATTTTCTGAACACATCCCATCTGATGGAAAGCACCGATTGAAGCTGAGAATGCTGTGTACATCACGTGTCAATCCCCTCGTAGCGTTCTCTCCTCGAGCCCAGCGGCTGGGCGTTCACCGCTTGCTGCAGAAGTCCGTGGTTCGAAACCCGGCAGGCCGCCCTGGTTAACACCACTAAGTGTACCTTGTGTAACTGTACATATGCACCCGCTGTATCTCTGCGGGCAGTACATTTCGTGTGATGTCATTTGAAATGAGCAGGCCATCGTGTGCTGGTGTCATGGTCCCAAGTTTCCCAATATTTAAAATTAGCTGCAACTTCAGTGTCATTACCATATAGCGGCATCGCCCCCCCCCTCCTCCCTTGGGTGGAAGTAATGCAAACTATTCCTGCGAAAGAGCACCTTAGCGGTAGAAGCCTTGCCTTGCTATAAGTGTGGCGCAAGCACCACGTGATGGATAAATCGCGTTATAATAACATAACATATTGGGTGAAGCACAATGCGAGATAACGCGTGAGAGATGCGTACGCGGGCCGAACAAAGACTGATGTGCGTGGGTAGCATCTAGAAGCATCCAGCAGCATCCCAGTGCCTTGTGTGATGCTACGCCGAGGCGGCCGTACGACCGCTTATTACTACTCGCGCGACGTAGTTCCGTTCACTCGATCGCGTTATATCCAATTGGCATCCGCGTTATATATATGAAAATACGATCTCCTAAATACATTTATCGCATTGTATAGGGTGCTTTAAAAAAATGTTGTTAACACTTCTGAGAGTTTGCAACAATACCACGATAAGTGTGCCTCCGGGCTCTGGACACCACCTGGAGAAGATTCCAGGCACGTGTTTTGACGATGATGGCGAACAAGTGGGAGACTGACTTTTTGAAGTGATTCAACATACATGATTTTGTTGTCATGTTACAGTGTAGTATTATGCGTTCTTTTTCCATTAAAAACGATAGCCCATATAAGTGTTAACATTGTATTTGAAGCATCCCTGTATCTCCAATTCGCCTTCATGAAAATAAAAAACACGCCTTATAGGAGAACAGATTGTACCAAATTTTCTAAAATTATCTTCAATTATCCTCCCCCTCCACCTTCCTCCTCCTCCACCACGACCACCACAGTTGAGGAACCTGAGCCTGGAGGAGCTGCGCATGAGACTGGGCGCACTCGACCCCCTGATGGAGCAGGACCTGGAGCAGCTGCGCCGACGCTACCAGGCCAAGCGGCAGCCCATCCTGGACGCCATCGACGGGAAAAAGCGCCGCCAACAGAACTTTTGAGCGGAGCTTGCCGGGCTGGGTGAGGTTCTCAGCCACGCGGGGCGTTGTGATAGAGCGATGACTTCCGACAGCCGACAACAACAAAACTCACCGATCAGAGATGTTGCCACCTCCCCCCCCGCCCCCATCAATTGTATTTGGAAGCCAAGTAAGCACGTGGCGTTTTGCCTTTGCCCGCCACATGTGAGTCCTTGCGGATTGCGAATCGATGTTTTAATTCGTAGCGATGCGACTCAGTCGAACCGGCACAGCCAGCTCAAGAGTGGGTCGGGAATTCATCGTGAAAATGTCGATGAATTGGCATTGCATATATTGGCAATCTAGTCATTGGAAATCGATGTAGTGGCAATACTTGGATCGAGTCGTCGTGTAATTCCCCCCCCCCCCCACCAGCCTTTATTTCATTGGCTAGACATCAGCAGGGATCGGTGATTGTGTCGCAGTGGGCTCGAATTGTACCACATTGCCCCGTCGCCCATTCGTAAAAAAACTGAAGTTGAAACGGCGTCGAGTTTATGTTGTTGTTGTTATTTATTGTTGTCGTCATTGCGACGGCGCGTGCTGCACCGCATGAACAACAACAACAACATTGTCGCCCTGCTTTGTTTGCTTCGTTTAAAACGCAACAAAAGTAGCGTTGCCAGAGGCGAAGTGCGACCCCGAGCAAAACGCCGCGGTCGACGCGGCACTGGTGGGTTCATGCTCTTTTTTTTTGTCCGACCGGTATCGTGATTTAAGGGCTGTTTGTTGTTCGTCATCATAATCGCGGTCCGCCGACGGGCGGACCACGAGCTAAAGGAAGTTTGCACGAGGCCGTGGCCAACTTTGGAGCAGCTTTTGTGTCCGGGCGTGTCTTTTTTGTTAAGTTTGAAAAAAAAAAGTTAACCTCGCCGCGCTTGGACTGATCGAGTTCGAGCCACGTGGTCTTGGCCATAATGAATTCCTACATGGCACGCGTTTTATTTATGTATAGGACAATGTGGATAAGCTTACTGATTAAACTTGATTAATATGTTTATATACGTGAGTAACACACTCTAGAATTTTCAGATATTCCTTTTTTATGTCTGCATATGTTTCAATCCAAGGCCAATAGTTTTCCTTTCCTTGCCGAGATCCCCTCTCCCAGACTTTCTGGATTTGGGCCATCCAGGAGAGAAAGTGAGGGCGTATACGAGGCCTCAAACCTCCCTGCCAATGTTTTACTGACGATCATCGACTTGGGCTGTCGTTGATTTTAATGGCTCTGTTAACGCAACAAGCGTGTTGCAAAAACAGAAGCAAGCGCAACATTTGAAGCTTGCAACAGAGTTACAAAAGTTGTGCAGGATGCACCGTTTAACTTCAGCTTTGTGGACCACAGCGGTACACAATGTTCAGCCTGTTGGGTGAAGGTTACCCCCCATTACTCCGGGTTAGCGAAACAATCTGGGAGGCATTTGATCCCTGCAGATCGTGGAGCATCGATCTGCACTCTGAATTTGGAGGCTACTACACACTCTAGGGAGCAGGTTGCCAAACTTGGCTAGAAAATGACTAGGACCAACTTGACAAAAATCTGAAAAATAATTTTGCCGAAATTGGTGATCCAACCCAAAGTGTTGACATATCGCAATCTACAAAATAGTATTTATATCGCAATTTGTAATTTTATAATCGGTATATCGTTGGTGAAAGGGGGGGGGGGGGCTCTTGGGGTTAGAGAGTGGTCTCAGAGTGGTGAACACACTGCGCTGTTAACCCGTTGAGCTGGATTCAATGTCCAGCCACGGGTAACACTAGTGGGCAAATTGGTACCTGAATCTGTGCCTCTTTCACCAACTCGCAGTGACCGGCAGGGTGACGGATGGTTGAAGCAAACCACGTGGTTGACACGGCGTGGGGAGGCCTTCGTCCAGCAGTGGATGGACAAAAGGGCTTGCGTAGTATTATAGTTGTATCGTTGTAAAGGTGACGGAAGTGTAACGTGACCTGAGAGAATACGTTTCTTTCAGTTTAATACGTAGAAGGCTTTCGCGAACCAATATTATCCATAGAGGTCTGTTTGGGGCGGTTGGATTGCATAATTATAGATGTGTCATTAAACCCGCCACCGCCCGACATGCCAGTTCGTTACTAGTACAGCAACACCGCTTGTGCATTGCAGAGTAAACCCACAACATTTACAATTCGAGTACGACGGAGGAAGAGAAAAAACGGCAGCATGTACAAGCACGGTGTACATGCGTGCTGTATGTTGGTTACCCTATGAATAACCCAACCGTTAATGGATATCCATTGTAATTTATATGCACACATTAACCCCTCCCCTCTGGCCTTCCCACCTGATTGGCTCACAGGTGACGCCATCACATCTATCCCTCTATTTCGGAAGGAAACGGAAAGGATTTCTCCGCAACTCTGGCTGCCGCCTGATGATGCTAGTTGCAATTACTTACTAGCGATACGTCGCACTCGAATTGTCAACGTTGTGGGTTTACTCTTCAACACACCGGCGAGTGCTGTACTTGTAACGAATTGGCACGCTTCGCTTATGCGACATACTACTAATTGGCTCTGTCGGGTGGTGACGGGTTTAACGACACGTTCATATTTACGCGATCTTCTTTCAACTGCCAGAATAAATCAGCGTAATCTGTAACTTTACCACCGTTAAGATAACTTTACCTTATCGTGTTACCAAATTATTTATTTATAGAGTTCACTTTACAAATGCGAGTATGGTTTCATATGTGTACGTGTGTTAATGCTTCCGAATCACATGCACTTTAAATATGTATGCAGATTTACGTGTTTGCCAATTTAAGGATTTGTTCTTTTTATTATAATAGTCGGGCTATCCAGTGAAACTGAAACGCTTTGATTTGAATGTGAAAACAGAAGTGTCAATTTGGAGGTCACTTCAATGCTCCTTGGAATGATTAATTAGACAATTAATTTATTTCTGATTTACAACATGGGCCTCATAAAACATGGCGGCCATCACGTCCCCGTGATTCATCCACGCACGACACGGCTGAGCAGCACTGGCATTTCGACAGAACACACACACACACACCCATTATATACGCCTGTGACCAAGGCCACCTAGAACGCTCCTCATAGTTCCATTTTTTCCATTTATTTGGTATAGCCCTGTGAGCCATTCGGCTCTTGAATCGGGTGCAACCGCAACAAACAAAAAACAAAAACATCAACAAGAAAACATCTTAAAGTGACTATGGTGACTGTGCAAACAGAAAATCCATGAAAAAAAACATCAAAATATTCCTGAAATAGCACCGTACACCAACGCTGTGTGCAAAAATCCCAGTGGGATGCAAGTCAAACAACAACAACAACCACAAGACAACTAAGATTAAGGCCATCAGTCTAACTCCGTACTACAATAAACAAAAACATGGCCAAACCAAACAACTTTTCGAAATAACCAAAATTCTCGATCTCGGAAGCTAAGCAGGGGCGAGCCTGGACAATGGCTTGAAAGTGTGACCAGCGTGCTCGCATCACAGGCGTTAAAGGATCCTGTGGGCAGCAGCATCAGCAGCGGCAGAGGACAGTGCAGCAGTATGAATGCTTCCGCACTCCTCCCACGTTAAACACCCCGGCTGGGTGACGTATCGTCAACATATACAGCATTCCTCACGGCCAACAAAGCGTGGGGAAGTTTCCCATCCAGCAGTGGACTGACAAAACGGGGAGCTGTACGTATGTACTGTACCGTGCACTTGTCACTGGAAGCGGGGGGGGGGGGGGGGTTGCCAGCTTTCTTTCGGCTTTTGCGGCGCGCTCTTCCAAAATAACCACGGGCAATTCCATTCTTGAAAGTTGACATGTTTTCAAATCATCCGCCTGAATAATCTCCAGATACAAACTTTCGTAAGCCTCGGTTCAGCAGTGAATGACTTTGTAACCTTTGTTCAAGTAATGTAGATTTAATATTTTTTGTAACCAAATTTCAGCACTGTAAACCTAGACCATCATAATGTACATTGATCCCTCAGTCATTCACTCTGTACATATTACATAATGCGCAATGTCACCTTCATTCAGTTTAGAATGGCTACAGGTCAGAGGAGTTGAAACCCACGGGGACATCTTTCCCCACCCAGAATGACCCAAAGCAACCTGGCCGACGAATCAGGGCATCGAGCCTCACTGAGTGTCAGCTCTCCCTCAGCGGGGTCATGCAATGGGGGCGTTTGACCTTTAGAGAGTGTTTTGGCTGCGTGCGACAGGAAATCAGAGTGCCCGGAGAAACCCCACCCGTCCGTAACACTCATCACTGCTATCTCCTGGCTACCTCACAGCACCACGGCCGACAACATCTGGCAGGCGCCGGTGGCTTCCCATACAAGCACTAGCCAAGCTCAATCCTGCATAGGTCGAGGCCCGACACAAGCTCGATATGGCCAGCGACAAAAAACCATAATCGTAACCACTGCTGCCAGAGGGCGCGGCTGTCCAGAGTGTGCAGGCGGTGCAATTGCACTGGGGCATATCGTGGACTCATGGACACATTCGAGTAACAGACGTGCACTCCAAACGTCTGTCTGTTTTCCTTCACTGTGCCCACACGTACATTACGCGTATGCACCCACGCGCGCTTGTATTATTAATACTATTTGTAGCTTGAAAACAAATAACGTTGGTCAGATGCATGCAATGTGATATCAAGTGTCAAATGTAGTGTTAGAATTCATATACAGCCCGTCACAGATTGTTTATTTTTTCTGTTTAAACCGTCGCTACGGAGAGACGTTTACTATTGTTAGCTTAATTTATACGAGCTAATTTGTGGATTTTAACTGATTTTTTTAAAGCAGTTGCCCTGGTGTTGTGTCCTACCAAGGAGCATTTCAGTAACTGGGTTTCCAATAAGCTGTGCGAACTAACTCGGCGTATTCCAGACAAAATATATTTAAATAAATTTAGTAAACTCAGAAGGGAATTGTTGGCCTTGAAGGACCACTTCTGGCGTTATCTGTCTTGACAGTGATGTCATGATTACAACCGTCTGTGATTGGATGGAACTCATCCACGTGTATGTCATTTAAAATGTAAACTCATTCGCTGGGTGAATCCTCGATCAATTTTAAATATAATACGCATTTTTTTTTGTTCGTCCCACTTACGGGTAAGAATCGTTTTTCAAATGGACAAATACATTTGTATCCATCTCCATCCTATAAATGGGATTTCCCGCCCGTCCCCCCCCCCAAAAAAAAAACTTGAATGAGAATAAACGGAACTTACGTGGAAAGACGAGTGAATTGGAAACCCGGTAAATATTGCATGGTTTTATTATCGTGAACAGGTGTAACACCGTGTGCAATCTTTCTTATTGGGTTTGTACGTGAATACGTGGGCTTTTAAAGTACGTCAGTTGGCTACAATTTTGCCCGGCTTTTTTGGCCGATGTGATGGATTGTATCGCACTTCTGCAATAATAATATCAATAATAATTAAAACACTAACTGTGACAAGATAACACGTGAAATTCGTCTTTTGTTTTTTCTTGCACGGCATACAGACTTCAATTGCAGGAGGAACTATGCATCCATTCGTCGATGTTACATATAATATTACATTCGCGAGGCTCACGATGCATGCACTGAATCGCATTTGTAAATAGGCGATGCTATTTTATTCATGAAGATCCCATTGTGGATAATACACGTCGACTAAAAGGAGTGCATTATGGGAAAAAAAGTATCGCTCGGCTTCGTTTCCATGAAACAATTAATGTCACTCGTAAGGAGGCTAACCAACAGCGAAACAGAGATTGTAAAAAGCGAAGCAGAACAAACAATACAAACATGACGGTGAATTTATTTTTACATTTTTTATTGATCGCGACCCTTAGGAGTCAAATTGCAAATTTAGAATGGCGACAGTTTAATTGAATTGCCGAGGTGAAGGGATGTGGGGTGGTGCATTGTTGCACGTGCAGTTTTAAGTAACGAAGTTAGGCTATTTCATGTGTGTGTGTGTGTTTAACTTCTTTCGCGCCGTACATAGCCAACCGTGCTAATCGGAGGTGCGGGGGAAGGACAAACTAAACACAGAAAGCAGTTCGAAAAGAATTCGTATGAAATCTAGATAATGTAAAAGTGCTATAAGCTCCTAGTGGCTTCCCGATGTCGGAAGGAAGAGCGTTCCAGACGGCCGCAGAAGCGCATCTGAAATTGAGTGATGCAAGTGACCGTTTTTGTTTTACGGCTAACTTATACTGCCACACGCGTACCATGTGAACCCCGCGTACGTCGGAACATATTGGTGCCATTGCGAGTAAAATCTCTGCAACAACGTACAATGTCATTACTTGCTTAGGTCCACATTTGATAGCTGTACGTGCAATGCACCCAAGTCTCGTGTGCCTTTTAAAAATGGGTTTAAATTCCCAGATAGTGTCTTAAAATGGGACATTGCTTCTGTAGTGTTCACATGCCAATGCTGGAGACTTGATGTACTTTTTTTGTACTTCACAATTTACCAGGAGCGAATCGCAAGTTTTTTTTTAAAACACCATAATCCAGTGGTCCAGTGGTTTCACCTATGCCGGATCTGGGAAGCGAAGCCCGGTTAATTGTACCAATAATAACCCCGGTTTACGTCGAGGATGCGTTCCTGAAATGTGCGACGACGTATATCGAAAACGACGGTAAATCAAAGCGATTTACAGGGCAGTCGCAGGTGGTGGTGGTAGAGGCGAAGGCTGAGAGGCGACGGATCGCGAGAAAGGACGGACGATCCGACGCAACCCGGGTGGCATCGTTAATAAAGCGGCGACCCCGGGTTGGCATTGTTAATAAAGTGGCGACGTATTTACGAAACGACGTTGAAAAAGTGGGGGGGGGGGGGGGGGGGGGGGGAGACGTAAAGTTGGGGCGTTAGTGTACTCGGATGGAAGGCCGCAAGTGGCCTGCCACGTGTTGTAGGCGTGGGGGGCTGCGAGGTGGCCGGGAGACGGCAGTGCGAAGTGTGTGTATTTGTAAGGTTACCTTTTTTTATATATATACAACTTTATGACCACCTCTGCCATGGGGTCAGGGCAGTAGCGTAACTAGCGTGGGGGCAGGGGGAACCTTTCCCCCCCACCCCCTCACCGGGTGGCCAATGCTACGAGTTGGGGCCCCCTAGACTATCACCACGAGATATGCTTTCAGCTGTTAAAAGACGGAGCCGCCCCTACAGCGTTAAATGTTCGAGACCGTGAGCGTAACGATGATGCGATTACGCAAGAGGAAGCGCGATAGATAATAGCCTTGGTGCGACCGTGCGAGACGAATCAAATACTGGGGGGCCCCACCTGACCGATTGCCCCCCCCCCCCTCCCGAGCTGATAATGTTGTCACTACGCCACAGGGTTAGGGGTTGGGTCCATACAAGGTGTCAGTCCGAATGCATGGGCAGTCAGAATCTGCATTCTCCATTGCTGCCGTAAGGACCACGGAGACCAAGGGGCCACGTGGACTGCAGCCCGCCCACCCTACCGTCTCGAACAGCAACGGGGAGGACGACGAAATTCAAGATTCGGGTGATTACAAAAAAATCCCCATTCAACTTTAATTTTGGGAAGGGCCGCCTTTAGTGGCGAGCGTGCTCTTTGCCCTACGGACCCAGCCACTTGGATCTGATCGCGACTAACGGCGAACGTCGGCGGCGGGTGATATCTGAACTGGTTCTGATTTCTCCTCTAGATCGACTCGGCCTTAAATCGAATGGTGTTCACCCGCAGCGGCGTGTAAACGTCAGCTCTGGGGGTGGTGGCCGGGCGGGGTGTTGGCCCCACAGCACCATTAATGCCGGGTCCCCGCCTACTGTGATGTACGTAAGTATGTTGAACTTCTTTCGCACCGTACACTGTAGCCAATTATTAAGGGGTTCGCTGGCAGCGTTTGCCCACAACCGGTCTACACGGGGAGTGGAGGGGGCCGGAGAGGGGTGGATTTTTCTTTGTTTATTTTAAAAATGGGCGGATGCTGTGGCCTTCAAAACGTTGATAGAAACACGGGCGACATTTGGCCTCGGAAATGCCCGGGACATCTATCACATTGTCCCCTCGAATGGCTCTGAAAGGGCAGGGAGATAAGGGGGGACCCCCCACCCCCCCCCCCCCCCCCCCCCCCCCCCCCCATCGTCCGTCTCGGCTGCTTTTCCACGAGCCACGTGAATCCATGCGAGTCGCGTCCATCTCGGTCTCGAAGTTGGAAGTAACAAAGACCGAAGGTCCCCCCCCCCACCCCCCATTTAAGTCAAACGCCACGCGAGCCAACAACACTGCCCAAAGTGCATGCGCACTGCCTAATTGTTCCTATATTAATCGTCGGTTATTCATATACAACACCGTCCATTGTTCATATACACCGTCAGTTGTTCATACATGGCACCATTGTTCAAGTAGGACACCACCCCATTGTTCATATACAGTACAATGTCGACTGTTCGTGAATCCCATTGTTCATATTCATCGTCAGTCGTTCATATACTACACCACCCATTTTGATTCAAAGCTTTCGTGACTGCAGTGATTCATATTCTTCGTTCTTTCGGTAAAGTCACGTTGAAGGGAAACAATAAAATAATAATATATATAAAACAATAAAATTCTCACTTACGTTTCGACTGCAACACAAGCAGTCATCATCAGGTGTGAAAACCAACGGCAAGAACATTTGAAAGAAGTGGCGGTTTGTATTTATTTATTTTTAAACGTTAGCACCACGGATAGCGATTTTCACAGTTTGTTTAGATGGCCGAGTCCATCTATGTTCGGAAAAGAGGAGGGGGGAGACGAAAAATTAATGTATGCTGTCTGAAAGCCATCGTAAGCATGAACAATCAATTAAGACCCGAAATGGTTTATCAAATCCTTCCAATGATTACTAAGCCAGAATCCATCTTCTCGGTTTAAATTGTCTCTGTGTTTGTATATGTGGATAGCCTCATGAACGAATCTCTCATGGTAGCCAGATGGCTTGCAAAGAACCTCTGTCTTGGAGAAGTCAATGTCATGTGAGCCTACTGAATTATAACAGTGATCTGCCACGGCCGAGGTGTTGGTCCTACCGTGTTTAAGGTCTGCTTTGGGTTCACGAATGCGGTCCGAGACATGTCGTTTGGTTTCTCCAATGTAACTACTACCACAGAGGCAACTTAGTTTGTAGATACCAGGGTACTGTATGTCCGGAATCACATATTTTACAGACGGAACAAGATCACGGATTTTATGTAATGCGTTGAAACGGACCTGGATCTTGTGTTTATTCAAGATTTTGGAGATCTTTTTTGTGATCCCCGCAATGTAGGGTAAAGTGATGGTTTTGAAAGGATCCTCAAGAGGGTCCTTCTTCATGGTTTGAGTGATAGTTTTGCGCATTGTATAGTCGGAGTAACCATGAGCATTAAGAGCTTGGTGTACGTGCTTGAGTTCACTGCCTATGTGTTCCTGGTCGGATATGCATTGGGCTCTGTAGTGCAGAGTCTTGATAAGATAATTCTTCTATGATGGATGGTGGTGGGAATCCGGTTTCAGATAAGCATCCGTATGGGTAGCTTTCCTGTAGACAGAGTGGCTCATTGAACCATCAGGTCTCTTTTTTATTAGGACATCCAAAAAAGGTAGCTTGCCATCTTTTCGAATTCCATGGTAAATCTGATGGCTGGGTGTATGGAATTGATGTGGTCGAAGAATTGGTCTAGAGCAGGCCGGCCATGTGGCCAGATGACAAAAGTGTCATCCACGTACCTCTTCCATAAGGTTGGGCGCAGAGTGGCAGTCTGGATGGCGTCAGTCTCAAATTTCTCCATGAAAATGTTGGCTATAACCGGAGATAGGGGGGAGCCCATTGCGGTGCCCACAGTTTGTTTGTAGAAAGTTCCATTCCAAGTGAAGTATGTATTGGTTAAGCAGTGTCTCACCAGGGGGGTACCTCAGTGTTTAGTCCTTGATGAACCAAGTCTTGTTTTATATATATTTTATTATTTTATTGTTTCCCTTAAACGTGACTTTACCGAAAGAACCAAGAACACCACCCATTGTTCGTAGATGGCACCACTCATTGTTCACATCCCACAATGACTATTGTTCATATACAGCACCGTCCATTATTCATATACTATACATCAACCATTGTTCATATACAACGCCATTCATTGCTCATATACAACCGTCCATTATTCATGTACAACACCACCCATTGTTCATAGACAACAAAGTGCATTGCTCATTATACATCATCCATTGTTCATGTACACCATTGTTTATGTACACCACTGCCCATTGTTCATGTACATCGACCTGCAAACCTCTGTGAGTCCACTGCTGTGAGGTCCTTCACCATTGGGTGCGGTTCTCGGGGGGCTATACTTGGCCATACTTCACCACGGGGTGCGGTTCTAGGGGGGCTATACTTGACCATACTTCACTACGCTGGCGAGTGGGCGTTGATGAAGGCGAAGGGCGCATAGACATGGTGGGGGGGGGGGGGGTAGGGAGTAACTGACGGTGGATGCTGCTGCACTGCCCTCTGCTGACAACGCATCACCGCGGCAGCCTACAGCACCCGTTTCGTGCACCGCGGTCGTCCCATCCAAGCACTTTTCAGGCTCAACCCCTGCGCGTTTGCCTCCCGAGATGTCACGAGATCGGACGCATTCCGGGTGACTCGTGTTCGTCAAAACACGAATCCGTTGCTCGTAGGCAGTAACTTGGAGGGTCACACGCAGTCGGCTCGCATCTCGCGTGGCTCCGCACTTGAATGTCACCGTCATTTGCTCAGCTTTGTAATAAATGGCCTGCCACGTGGGTGGGAGCTCAACATGGCCCACAGATGAGAGTGCTGCGTTGGACGATTTCGGTCACCGCCGGCCCACGAGAGTCGCCTCGCGGCCACACACGGCCGCTTCCCACCGGGACGGATAGGTTCAATTCCCATCTTTTTTTTTGCCAAAAGCACACTGGGCTCCCACTGCGAGGCGAGCAATAAAAACAAATGAAGGTCGCATGGCAATCCCAAGCTTCGGAGTCATTGTGTACCGACATCGGACGGCCTGTGTCGCGCTTCTAGTTGCCAAGCGATCGTGTTTGCTCATCCGGTGCCGGTCGCGTGTTCACAGCGTTCAAAAAATGTAAGAGCGACAAACAGAAAGTCAACACACAACAACGTGGATTCATTGACGCACTCGACACGGGGGTGTCTCCCTCACTGCCGACGCACAAAAGCAACGGGGCGAATCGTTGGTGCTGAGATGCAGGGGGACATGCGTGCTCCCGCCGTCTGCGGGATTTGATCCCTTAGAGTGGACGAGACACGATCGTGATCAAAAGTGAAGGGGATGAGGAAAGGAGGCGAGAGCGGTACCCGTTTCGGACAAACCGATCGCTTGACGGTCGCCTTGGATGGCCATGTGACCGTGTCAGGAGCAAACGGAAGCAAGGAGATTAACAAGGCAGCACCAGGGCCGGAGGTCGAGGAGGTAGGAGCTCAGGCGGTTCGAAGTGGTGAAACTAAAATGCGACCGACAGTGGAGTGGTCGCGAAGACGATTGTCTACTACAGAACAACGAGTGGAGTCAGAGGAGGAGACAGGGAGGAGGAAGAGGAGGAGTTGGGCACAGAGGGGGATGATGAGTGGGGATTGGGAGGGGGACGATAGTGGAATGGCCTTGGAGATGATGGCGCAGGGCAGAAATTGGTGGAAAACGAGGACCAAGAAAACAACCCCATGAGTGAGTGGTGGTGGTGATGGTGATGGTGGGGAAATGCCAGGCAGAAGAAGCGTGCTGGGCCGCCTTGCTCACGCGCGCACGCACGGCATCGAAGAGTGGCACACCGCCGGCCTTCACGACAGCTCCCTCCGCTCGCCGCCAGACCTCGCTCGGAGCCGAGGGCCCCGCTCACCGGCCCAGCGTCCGCTCGCGTCGCTGTCCTCGTCGTAGTCGACGCCGCCGACGCCGCTCGTGGCCACGCTGCGCAGCAGCGAGGTCATCTTGCGCGCGTAGTAGTCGCGGATGTTGACGCCGGGCAGATCCTCGGCGCTCAAGCTCTGCTCGTCCGCCTGACGCACGGCGGCCTCCAGCGCCTTGTGCAGCTGATAGTACTTGGAGAACTTGTTGAAGATGATGGTGATGGGCAGCGCGACCACGAGGATGCCGCACACGATGCACGCGGTGCCCAGCATCTTGCCGAGAACCGTGATTGGGTACGTGTCCCCGTAGCCCACCGTGGTCATGCTGATGGTGGCCCACCACCAGCACATGGGGATGGTCTGCAGGCTGGATTCCTCCTCGTCCTTCTCCACGGAGTAGACGAGCACGGAGAAGATGGAGATGCCGACCGAGAGGAAGAGCAGGAGGACCCCCACCTCCTGGTAGCTGTGTCTCAGAGTGGCGCCCAGCGAGCGGAGCCCCGTGGAGTGGCGAGCCAGTTTGAGGATGCGAAATATGCGCATTAGCCTGAGGATCTGCACCACACGCCCCACGTTCTGCAGCTCGGCGCCGCTCTCCATCAGCCGGTCGACCGCCAGCGTGACGAAGAAGGGCATCACGGACGCGAAGTCGATGACGTTGAGCGGATTTCGGGCGAACGCCTTCACGTCGGGCGCCGTGGCCAACCTCAGGAAGAACTCGACCGTGAACCAGGCGACGCACGCGCCCTCCACCAGCTCGAGGTTCGGGTCCTCCATCTCCTTGCCCTCGGCGTCGTGGCGTCGGAACTCGGGCACGCTGTGGACGCACAGGGTGGCGATGGAGACGAGCACCGCGGCGAGCGAGCACACGGCCACGAGCTTGGCGACGAGCGAGTGCGCGGGGTTCTCGAGCACGAGCCACAGCTCGCGACGGCACCGCGCGCAGCGGCCACCCTGGGCCGCCTCGGCCGGCGCCTCGTAGAGCAAGTTCGCGATGAAGGAGCGGTCCGAGCTGTCGTCGCTGTGCCCGTCCCAGTCCTCGTCGTCGTCGTTGTCGTCCTCGCGCTCGTGCATGCGCTCTTGGAAGCGCAGGCTGCAGCACGAGTCGAGGAAGAGCCGATGGATACCCCAGTACTCCATCTCCTGGCTGAAGGAGATGGCGCACAGGTCGTCGGCCACGTGCAGCCGGCCCGTGTAGTAGAAGTTGACGATACACGGGAACACGCACGGGTTGCGGTCGAAGTAGAACTCGCGCTCGGCCACGTCGTAGTCGTCGCACAGCTCGAGGATGGCTTCCTCCGAGTCGCAGCTCATCAGTCGGCCGAGCCTCGTGTGCGGGAAGCGGCGCAGCGTGCCCGCCTCCAGGCGTCGCTTGAAGCCACCCACGTTCACAGCGATTGAAGCGGCGGCTGCTGCTGCGGCTGCTGCTGCTGCGGAGCCAACGCTCTCGTCCACGCCTGTGCACTTGGAGCCGGGCCGCTGGAAGATTTGTCCGAAAACCATGGCGAGCGAGGGTGCTGGTGAGTGCTCGACTGCGGCGAGGTGGGTGGGGAGGGTGCGGAGTTCACGCCAAGCCGGGCGGCTCCTCGTGTTCGCAAGCACCGCGCAGTGATAGCCCAAAGTGGCTTAGAAACGCAAGCCGGGTGCGTTTAACAGAGTAGATGGATTTGTTGTTGTTGTTGATATGCAATTTAAACAATCCCATAAGATGACGCCAATTTTGTTTTTGATCAAATTAGCAACTTGACATGGCAATACAAATATATCTTTAAAAGGCACGTCATTTAGCTTTAAATAAAAGCTCATTTTGTACATGTATATACAACTCCACAACCACCTCCCCCCCCCCCCTCTACAGGCGCTAAGAGGCGCGGCTCGCTCCTCCAGGCGCAGTGCTGTGTCCCTACCACGCCGCTTCCCCTGCGCGAGGCTCCCTCCTCCTCAAGTGAACGGACGTGCGGAGTAGCGGTGGTGGCGTGGAGGAGGGGACGGAGAAACGGGGGGGGGGGGTGGTGGGTAGGGGGGGGTAAGAAGGGAATCTCTCCTCTCCGCTTTCAACCCTCCGACGCGCGCTGCTGCGGCTGTCGTAAAGTATCGTGCCATACCCCCCCCCCCTTTCGCTTGAGATATTTTTGGCCTTCGCTCTGCGTCTTCGTGCTGTGCGTGGGCGAGCGGGCGAGAACCGCTCTCCACTCGCGCGGAAGGATTCCCCCCCCCCCCCCCCCCCCCCCCTCTGCATTAATTCACTCATCCGGGGGAAGCGACAGAGGTGGTGGGGGGTTTTTTTTGTCGCCGCCGACTGAAATATGCGGAGGGCGTCTGCATTATTATCCGGCGAGTGCTGTACGCACGCGCTATCGAGTGTGCAGGCGGTGCAACTGCACCGGGGTCCACGGGTGGGGCGGCACTCCACACTGCCCTCTCCTGGCCACCCTTCTCGGCTCCACTCCAACTTTAACCAGACCTTGTGGTTACGAACGCAAGTTCGAACCAGGCAAGATCTTCGCGTCAATTGATCGAGGCGTGCATCCCGAGGCATCGACTGCTTTATTAAAAATATTCTCGCACTCGCAACCGCGCCGCGAATCGCGCGTGTGTTGTAATCGATTATGGATTTTAATATACCGTGCATTGTATGGTTCACTCAGTCCCTAGCAGCAATCAACAAATGAAAACAATTAAAATCCATTATTTAATCGAATCGTGAACAGGTAGTCGAACCACGATGGGTGAGAATTGTAACGTGCCTAATGCGCACTTAAATCACACTCGTTTTAAGAAACGCCCTAGGGGGGGGGGGGTGGTTAATTGACTCGTGAAGGGATTGCAGCCAACAGGAAATGAGGGAATGCGCACGAGAAGACAACCACCCGGGCAGATGCAGCGATGAGTTCGTGAGTAGTGGGTGTGGATCGTCACATCGCGGAACCGTGAGGAGGCCCTGCATCCAGCAGTGGACAGAGAATGGATGGAAGATGGCGATAACTATGAGGAATCAGCGACGACACTGCTCAATCTAGCAGTAAAAAAATACACGTTGTACTCAAAGTCAATTAATCACAACGCAATTTCCTTCCCCTTCATGAATGCGTTTGCCTCTTGTGAGTTCGTAATTTCCAAAAAGCGCGCGTAGCCTCGGTTGACAGTCTAACTCAGCAACACGCAGTGTGGACAGCATCGCGCCTGGAGCATTCAGCACCTCGCAGCGTGTGGACAGCGCCAGAGCCGCCAGCCTCAACTTAGTGGCGTAACAATGCATCGATTCGCCGACCTCGTGTGTATTATAAATCGCTCGCATCGTAGGAATGGAATAGTGTGCGTAAAAGTCTCTGCGTTTCGATTCATGCATGGTGTATGTTGACGGTTTTACGTGGCCCCTGCACCCCCCGTAGTCACGTTCACGACAAAAGTGAAACCACTTTATTGAATCTAAAGGAGAATGGGGATTGTTCCATCGATACAACTCCACCCAGCCTCCATGCAAGTCGCATACAGAACCGATTCATCCCGACCCACCACCCGAAATTCCATGGTTACGGTCAGTAAAAAAAGGAATCGAAATTTTGTATGGATTGTAATGTCTCAATGTAGTACAGTATACGCATTGTATATTGTCTCATTCGTTTCGTCAGCTGAAAAGTTAAATTTGCATGTCATTTGCGAACCATTTGCATTTACGGTAAACATTAGATTTTTACGGGCAGGATGAGATTCAATTGTCTTGAGCGTAATATTCAATTGTATCGATTAATCATCAAATCCCTCTTTCCTCACACAAGTGGCCGGCGACACAGCATGTAGACACTCAACAACGATGACTTACTTAATATTGTCCTGATAATATCCCGAGTTTTAAAATACATTTTTAAAGTCCTACCCTGGGACGAGTGTCTAAACAATTTAAAACGACTCGTGTGTGGGATGTGAAAGGGAAAAAATAGGTTACATCCGTAATTTAATTTAAACCAAACTCAAAATATTCACAGGATGGAAAATTTTATACAAAAAAACTGAAGGAGCGCACGAAAAAAGTTGGTTTGTATTATTGCCCAGCCGTGGCTCGGCTCAGACGCAGCTTATAGAAAACCCTGAGTATGGCTGGGACCCCATGTATGTAGAACTTCCTTCGCGCCGTACGTAGCCGACAGTGCTAATCGAAGGTGCGGGGGAAGAACAAACTAAACACAAAAAGCAGTTCTAAAGAAATTAGTTTTACATTTAGACGATTTCAAAGTGCATAGCTCCAGCGGCTTACTAATATCGGGAGGAAGAGAGTTCCAGACGGCCGCAGAAGCGCGTGATGAAAGCGCGCGATGCAGTGGCCGTCTGTGTTCAATGGTTAGCCAAACAAAAAAAACGCACGCACGGACGCGCAAAAATGCCCAGGACCGGCTCAAATGAAGCTTTGAGTCGGTTCACTTGAGCCAGAGCCAATCCCGTGCCGTGACTAAGAATACAGGCCATAGTGTACTGTTCATTAGTCTGGTCCACACCCCAGATTACCTGCTCCTCCTCCTTCTCCTCCTGTGCAGTGAAGCACGTGCGCTCTTCAGCTGTTGGCCGTTATTCATGTTTGTGCATCGAACAACGTTCGTGAAACGTCCAGTTAGATTTGTTATCAGGAATCAGTAAGGTAGATTTTAACCGAAGCTCAATGGTCTTCACAGCGCACTTACAACCGTGGGCAAATGTACTGCCTTTAAAGCCTTTGACCAGTTGCGGCGTCCCATTTGGTAAGAGCACTTGTGCTTATGGTTAAAACACAACATGTTTTTATGAGTGTTGGAAAAAAAATACCAGCAATAATAACAGCAAACAATGGATGTGATCATTAAGAGGCAGAAGTTCTCAAGGTTTTTTTTTGCAATTGAATTGTCACTTGTACTTATTAACAACATTTCTAAGATAAGTATAACATTTTTTTTACAGTTATTTTGACAATGACAGTCCCGTGTCAGCTGCTATGGATGATAGCACGCGGGTTCCTTTGGGCCACGTGTTCACGTGGCTGAAGAGTGCCGCGCGCTGTCGGCTACGGCTATCATCGGCGTTGCCACTCGGCACGCTGTCAGATGTCACCAGGCATGACACTCGTGGACGTATTATGCAGGCATCGTGTGCTCGTACAGTCGCCACGTCAATAGCTTGTGGAGCCCCGTGACATTTTGTCAGGTCACTTTAGTTGGCTACAAGTGAATTTTAAAACACGCAATATTTACATACATTCACCCCGATGTTATCGCCATTGTGCTCGCTGTGTCACGCAGCACAGAACGGACCGCGGCAGCAGATGTCATAGAACTACTCCATTCCCGAGATCCCTTGAATGCGGCCTCTTGACCACGCAGTAGGGGGGGGGGGGGCAGCACTATCCCGCCGATGTATACATTCTCAGAGCTCGAAGTCATCCAAATGCAATGCAGAACCCAATTTATTGTGACGGGGAGTTTGATGGAGAGCGGACCGAGACCATCAACTCACCACTTATGAGAACCCCGTTAAACGTGGGCGGCTGCCTGGACTCGAACTCAGGATTTCGGCGGTCCAAGCCCTCTAAGCTATGAGCCACACCCACGCCACCTCAAGAACAAGTTTCATGTTTACCGTGGATCGATTTAAGAATCCAAAACGCGACCCCGATTTCTGAGAATTCATTCAATCGCAAGGCTTGCGGAATCGGCACACTCATAGTAATAGATTAGCGTGACCCCTATAGCCACTAGAAGCGCTACAACAATGTGCTGCGATGTGCGTTCCAAAAAATAATATTCTTGTGTTGGAACCACGACCTCAGATTTTGAGAATTATTTCAATCGTCACAAGCCAAGTTAACGTAACCGAACCACAACTGTGACTCGGACCACCGCATAAAGGGCTCGCTCAGAGTTCCATGGTCTCCGAAACAGCAGCAGCTAACTTTTGGGAAAGGGATGCCTTTTCTTCTTAATGATATCTCTTCGGGTGCCGCGGTGGCTAGATGTTAACTACCTCGCCTGGTTTACTGGAGGTCGTGAGTTCGACCCTGACGCCTGCTGTATATTTGGAGTTCGCGTGTCTCTCTCTCCCGCTCCCCGTGGTCGCGTTGATTTTTTTTCCGGGTCCTCCGTTTCCCCCCACCTCCACATTTTAGAATCAACATGCGTTTAGAGTAATTTGGCTGCTACGCATTTCCACGTGATAAGCCATTTAGTTGAGCTATTATCCGTGATGGCAAAGTCGCTTCTGAAAAATAGCTATTTATATATTTCGCTCAGTGGGTCTTACACAGTGGCGGATTATCCTCGTAGCAGAAGTAGCGACATATGTAGTAGCTGCTACTACTACATATGTAGTAGCTACTACTACTACATATGTAGTAGCTACTACTATGCTAGGGGCTCCGCACTTTCAAGGGCCCGGCGCTAAATGCTTTCAAGCAATCAATTCCGGTTCAGTGATTCTGCACTTGCTCTGTTACTATAGTACTATACTGCCTTCAACTTTTATGAACGACTGGGTGTTTAAGGTTAGCGATTTGTGTCGTATTATCTGGCTATATAGCAAATGAAAAAATACAATTACTTTACTATGCAATTTTAATTGTTTTAATGTTTGTGTCTTTTTTTTTTATTTAGGGCCCCTTCATAACATATGCTACAGGCCCCGCACTAGCTTAATCCGGCACTGGTCTTACACCTGGTAAAACAACGCGTTTAGTAGCGTCATTGTTTACTCGACGCCTCTGAGCGAGCGAAGGCGTGGAGAGGCAGTACCATAGAGTCCACACGAGGGCGCACTCGTTCCAGGGACTGCAGGACCGCCTCCAGAATAGACGCACGTGTCACGAGGCGTGTCTCACAACGCCGCGTGTCTACCAGTCGTTACACACTCGCACGCTTCACCAAGGTCTCCCCCTGGGCTACAAATCCCCCGTGTCCCTATAGCGATACCGCGTGTCCACGAACCACAGTACTCGAGAACCTAGTCCAGTTTATGCCCCCCCCCCCCACACACACACACACAACACCACACAATACACACACAACAGACACACACACAACGTTGGCATGCGTTGTTACATCGTTGCACGGCCCCACTTTGCACAATCCACTGCTGGACGAGAGGGCCTCCAACCACGACGAGGTTTGGTTTCGTGGACGTCCGTGGACTCGGTGTACATCAGCACGCTGGACTGTGCGGGCTGGTGACAGAGGGAGCCGGGGGGTGGGAATCACAGACGTGGTAACTTCGAGGCTACAGGACAATGGGCAGCAAGGCAATGCCCCCTCCTGCTGGCTGGCAACGTGGCCCGGCGTCACCGCTCTCTTATGCGTCGTTGGTGGTTGTTCATCGAGAAGTGGTCCTGAACCGTCATTGCAGCCTTGCACCCCCTTGGGTTCCAAAATCGTTCAAAACTCCACGTATAATGTTCATAAACACGTAGGGGGTTTGAATTAAACTCAGTGGTTGTGTTTAATTTGCGTTTCGATGATTTACCTTCTAAAATAAAAAAAAACACTTGGCCACGTCTCGTACCCCCAGAAAAGGGCATCTCGCACCCCCAGGGAGTGCGCGCAACCCCCGGGTGAAGAAGAATCACGGATCGAAGAACTCGCAAGACTACAGCCAGCTAGGCTTCCGATATCGGAGGTCGGGCGTATTCCGGGGAACTCGTGTTCATCACCAACAGCAGCAGCGCCGTTGCTCGTGCAGCGTCCGCAGTTCGTACACATTCGACGTCAAGCCACTCGCTCGCTCGCATCTCGCACGGCGGCTCTTTGGGGGATCCACGCTTCCTGACGTCGTTTATTAAGGACCACCCGTCTCTCGTATCCACGTGCATTCGGTTCTTGAAATACTGAGTTGTTTTTATTGAATTCGAAATGGCTCTTCTTGTTATGTCGATTGCCTAACCTCTGCACTGCACACTCCCCACACACACACACACAGACAAAGACAAATATCCCCGTATAGCCTTAACAGACTGTTGGGGCAAGTGCTGTGAGCGAGCACCTACGAAGGCCAGCACAGCACACGAGGGGGTGGGTGGCCAGCACCACGCCCGGCCGCCTTCGTCTCCCCAGTGGCGATGATGTTTACACACCGCACCAGGTACTCATTTGAGGCAGAGTAAACCTAGTGGAGGGCCCAGAACCGTTTGAGATAATGGTCACTGCAGGGTGTTGTAGTAGCTACTACACGTGTAGTAGCTACTACATGTGTAGTAGCTACTACACATGTAGTAGCTACGGGCCCCGCACTTTCAAGGGCCCCGCGCTAAATGCTTTCAAGCTATCAATTCCGGTTCAGTGATTCTGCACTTGCTCTATTACTATAGTACTATACCGCCTTCAACTTTTATGAACGACTAGGTGTTTAAGGTTAGCGAATTGTCGTATTATCTGGTTGTATAGCAAATGAAAAAATACAATTACTTTACTATGCTAGTTATAAATGTACGTGTTTTAATATTTGGGTGTTTTTATTTATTTAGGACCCCTTCATAATATCATGCTTACAGGCCCCGCACTCGCTTCATCCGGCACTGAGCGGGACTCGAACTCGCGCATCCGCGGATCGTAGCGCAGCGCGCTAACCACTGCGCCACCTCTCCCCCCCGTACGCACACAAAACAACGAAGACTCCCCCCCCCCGGCACAGCCTCACACGCACAGATGCCGTCTCACACTCGCGTACGGTACACGAACTCAGCTCGCTCACGTAGGGCGCGCACACACACACAACCCTATCTAGGCATTTACATATTGTTTGGGCAATCGCTATCAGCGAGCATCTTATTAAGGCCGGCACGCACACATCCACACATACACACACGCCCGAAAAGTAACACACATGCACCCCGACAGACACACACACACCATGCCACGCACTTACAAACCCTGAAATGCACACATACCCCGACAGACGAACACCCTGACATGGACTGTGAAAGGCGCGCGCGCACACACACCTCGACAGACACACACATTTACTCCCTAACACACACATCCCCTGACAGGTACAAAAAAAGACAATCGACCTCGGGGAGACCCGGGACCGGTTCAGATATGAATCGTCACTGGGTGTTGGCCTTCAGAGGGAATCGAACGCGAGCCGCCGGGTTCGTAGCGCAGCGCGCTAACCGCCACACTACCACTCCCCACACACACACACTAACACACGCACCCTAACAGGTACACACACACTAACGCACGCACCCTAACAGGTACAACAACAACCGCCATTCACCACTAAGTGGCGGTGACGTCACCACGACGCTTGTGCCAGGCTATGTGCACCTTGAGGCCACGTGAAGTGTCGAACGCCCGCTGGCAGGTCACGGGGCAGACCCAGGTGCCACGGGTCGACTGACTGAGATGACTGGCTGATGCACCACCTGTGCCCCCTACTGTGCCAACCTGCTGTGCTTTAGCCACCCGGCGCTCCGCTCGTTGTTCTGAGCGTCGCTCCTCCGCCCTCCGTTGTTGTTGGAGGGCGACTGCCTCCAACTGCTCAGCAGCGTCCTTCACGAGCCTCCTCCACAGAGGCCGATCTTGACACCGCTGGTACCAGTCATCGGCCAGTCCACTCAGCTCCACGTCCTCCTGTACCACATCACTCCATCTCTTCTCTAGCCCGTGCCGCGCCCGTTTAGCCCCCTCAATCCGGCCGAACAAAAGCTGTTTCGGCATGCGGTGGCTGGGCATGCGGGCTACATGACCCAGCCAACACAGCCTTGCCTGCCGGAGGAGCTCACCGATGGGACCTTGCCCAGATCTTTCAAGGATTTGTGAGCTCCTTACACAATCCAGTCTGGTTAAACCCAGGATGGATCGTAGGCAGGCCAGCCTAAATGTTTCTAACCGGCGAAGATGTTCCATTAAGGTGGTCCACGTTTCGCAAGCGTAGAGAAGGGAGGGAATGACCGTGGCCAAGAAGACCTGAAGCCTATTGCGGAGCGACAGACCAGGTAGCTTCCACACAGCGTTACGCAACCGATGAAAAGATATTGCCGCTCGACTGATTCGGAGTAAGACCTCTGCTGTTAAACTGGAGCCGGTCCGGCAAAACAACCCCCTACCTCCTCGCCGTGCCGGACGAGCAACTCTGTCGTGGACAGTGCTGTGGGGGGAGGTCCAATTTCGATTGGCTCCTCCCCTCATGGCATCTGTGACCACCACAGGGGCTAAACGGGGGCTCTGGACGGGTGCGAGGGGCTGGTAACGCCTCCACCTTCAATTACCACTAAACTACGACTGAAATATAACAGGTACACACACACTAACACACGCACCCTAACAGGTACACACACACTAACACACGCACCCTAACAGGTACAACAACAACCGCCATTCGCCACTACGTGGCGGTGACGTCACCACGACGCTTGTGCCAGGACATGTGCACCTTGAGGCCACGTGGAGTGTCGAACGCCCGCTGGCAGGAGGTCACGGGGCAGACCCAGGTGCCACGGGTCGACTGACTGAGATAACTGGCTCATGCACCACCTGTGCCCCCTACTGTGCCAACCTGCTGTGCTTTAGCCACCCGGCGCTCCGCTCGTTTTTGTGAGCGTCGCTCCTCTGCCCTCCGTTGTTGTTGGAGGGCGACTACCTCCAACTGCCCAGTAGCGTCCTTCACGAGCCTCCTCCAGAGGCCGATCTTGACACCGCTGGTACCAGTCATCGGCAAGTCCACTCAGCTCCAAGTCCTCCTGTACCACATCACTCCATCTCTTCTCTAGCCCGTGCCGCGCCCGTTTAGCCCCCTCGATCCGGCCGAACAAAAGCTCTTTCGGCATGCGGTGGCTGGGCATGCGGGCTACATGACCCAGCCATCGCAGCCTTGCCCGCCGGAGGAGCTCACCGATGGGACCTTGCCCAGATCTTTCAAGGATTTGTGAGCTCCTCACACAATCCAGTCTGGTTAAACCCAGGATGGATCGTAGGCAGGCCAGCCTAAATGTTTCTAACCGGCGAAGATGTTCCATTAGGGGGGTCCACGTTTCGCAAGCGTAGAGAAGGGAGGGAATGACCGTGGCCGAGAAGACCTGAAGCTTAGTGCGGAGCGGCAGACCAGGTAGCTTCCACACAGCGTTACGCAACCGATGAAAATATATTGCCGCTTGACTGAAATTGGGAGTTGTGGGGGTGGAGTGTCCGATGGTAGAAAATACCCAGGCAGGTGCTTAGTTTTGGTGGGGCTGATGGTAAGGCCCCATCTCTTAGTGGCACGCTCCAGTCTCAGCAGCAGCGTCTCCAACTCCTCCTCTAAATGAGCAGCTATTACCAAATCATCGGCATACATAACGTGGTTGAGCAATAGGGAGCCATCCCTTGACCGCACCGGGCATCGATCAGCCTCCCATTATGTCTGTACCATATGGAGATTCCCCCGGTACAGCTATTGAATGCTTCACGAACTACGTGGTCAAAATAGATGTTAAATAATGTGGGAGCCAGAGGACATCCCTGTCGCACCCCAAGGTGTACAGGAAATGTCTCTGACTCACGGCCACGTAGTTTTACCCGGGCCCGCTCACCATCATGAAGGTCCTTAATGATCGTGAGCAGAGGGTCAAGTACTCCAAAAGCACGAAGAACAACCCAGAGCCCAGGCCTACTCATGGTATCATAGGCCTTGACCAGGTCAATAAGGCAGAGATGTAGGTCTTGTTGGAATTCCCTACACCTCTACTGAACCAGACGGACAGAAAATATGGCATCTGTGCAGGACCGCCCTTTCCTGAAACCGCATTGGGGCTCCGCAAGCCTCTCCTCAGCGTGCCTGGCAAGGCGATGTTGAATAATCCTTGCCAGGACCTTTCCCGGCACACACACAGGCACCGTGACACACACACAGTGACACATACACACAGGCACCGTGACACACACACACAGGCACCGTGATGCACACACACCGTGACACACACACACACACACAGTGACACACACACAGGCACAATGACATACACACACAGGCACCGTGATACACACACACAGTGATACACACACACCGTGACACACACACACACATGCTCACCCACACCCTCCCTAGCACAGAAGAAACACGCAGAGCAGGAAAAGCGCCGAGCGCTGGGCGGGGTGCGTCAATGACTCGGGACACGATTCGCTCGTACAGTGCGCGGCAGTGAGCTCTCTCTTCACATTCTCTCTCTCTCTGTCTCTCTAGAGAGAGAACACAACTCTTTCTGTTTCTTTCCCAAGGGCGATAAAGCAGCCGAGTTGTTGTGTCGTTAAGACGTGACTCCCCTCCTCGCCCCATCCAAGGCAAGCGCCACACCGCGTCGGTGGCGATGATGATGATGATGGTGGTGATGTTGGTGACGGACTGAAGGGGGTTCCTCCTCTCTCTCGCTTTCACGTCCTCCACAGCCCCCCGAGGAGGAGGAGGAGACGCGACCAGCGGTGTGTGGTGAGGTGGGGGTGGATTCTGCGTCTTGGCTGAGTCGTCTGGCTGGAGTCGTGACGCTGTTCGCGACTCCCGGCTGCGGCGGCAGATGGAGGACGCACGCGGTGCCGTCAATGCGACCACGGTGACTCCCGAAGCCTCGACCGTCGACGGCATCTTGAAGCCTCTGATTATTGACGTGAGGATGAGCGCGCGTGTTCGTGTGTGTGTGTGCGCGCGCGCGTACGTCGCCACTAGGGAGACAAAGGTGGCCCGGAGTGGCGCTTGCCACCCAAACCCCTCTCCGTGCCGGCCTTCATTAGGTGCCCCTCGCTGATAGCACTTGCTCCGAAAATGCCGAGGTTATATGGGGCATCTTGGGGTTAGTCTTTGTACGTGGGTCGGTCCCGTCCGTCTTAAACGAGTAAGCTTGTGGTTGGTGGTAGTGGTGGGTATGTGTGTGTGTGCGTAAACATCAGCAGCGGGGATACAAAGGTGGCCGGGCGTGGCACTTGCCACACCCTTTCTCGTGCGACTGTCCGGGCCCTACAGAACCTCCCCCGCCACCAACACTCGCCGCAGCTTTGCTCGCTAACAGAACAAAGTCCAACAGCAGCTCGTGCACGGTCGAGGCGTGAAGAGGCGAAAGGGGTGGGGGGCGAATCTTGTTACGTCAGCGTCGTGAAGAGCGGTGGCGCACCGGTTAGCGCACTGCGCTACGATCTTCTAAAGAGTGGTGGCGCACCGGTTAGCGCACCGCGCTACGAACTTCTGAAGAGCGGTGGCGCACCGGTTAGCGCACTGCGCTACGAACTTCTGCACCGCCCGAGTTTGATTTTGCCAGTCACGGCGAACTAACATCGCGCAGCGGGCGAGCGAAATCTGTAGCCCCACCCACCCTGGGTCAAAATTGGCCTTGAATTAATACCTAGCGCGGTGTTTAAACATTTACCATATTTTTTTTTTTGGGGGGGGGTGGAGAGACAGACGACCTTGTGTGACGCTGCCAACATCAATTTGCTTTGGAGAGACATACGATAGGTGCTCGCTAACAGCACTTTCTCTCCCCCCCTACTCCCCACCGGATCAGCGAGTCTCTACGGGGAGGGGGCCTTTTGTGCGGCGACAACTGTCGTGACACCACGAGGAGGTGGGGGGGTCCCGTGAACACGGGGTTAGAGTCCCTAGAGACGGTCAACACAAGCAGGAAGCAAGGGAGGGAGAGACGGACGCAGCGAGACGGGCACGCAGAGAGAGAGTGAGCCAAATGGAGTAGGAAGAGAGGGGGCAGAGAGAGAGGGGGGGCAGAGGGGGGGGGGGTAGAGAGAGGAGGGGCAGAGAGGGGGTAGAGAGAGAGGGAAGGGGTAAGGAGAGCAGAAAAAGAAAATATTTTGTTTGGTGGGGGGTTTACACAAAGCAAAAAAACGAAATGATGAACGGAGCAGAGTGCCGACTACACCGCGCATCTTCTTGTTTCCTCTGATCGTAAAAAAAGAGAGAGACATCGGGAAGACGTGGAAAGGGGCAAGAGATGCCCAGTTTATACTCAAAAGACGACGAGACGAGCGGCGAAAGAGACGTGCAGAGGGAGACAAACAAAAAGACGCGCAGAGACGAACACGCAGAGACGGATAACACCCGCGCATTCGGGGTGGTGCGCAACAATCTTATTGTGCGCGTGTGTGCATTGGTACAGTGGTGTTGTAATAAAGCGCCCTAACAGGGCAAGGATATTTATTTTTTTCTCAGGAGGGATGTTGGGCCAATTCCATTAAAGCGATTTGGCTGGCTTCGCGTGGGAGGAAACCCGAGTAAAGCAAATCTATCCCACCAATAATACGAGAGACGGGGGGGGGGATGGGTAACTCTAGAAAATTGTCCACCTCCCAGCCAAAGCTAACAACACACACGTGGTATACACCATGGTAGTATTCCACGCAAGTGCGAGCCAGGCGTCTATCGGACGAGCTTACCTCCCAAGCTCCGGAGGGAGTTGGTCGCGTTTGTATGCGTGCTGAAATTTTTTTTCGCACCGCACGCAGCCAGCCGTGCAAATCGCGGGTGTGGCGAGCGTTGAGGGTGATTCTGTGGTCTACCTTCATGGCACGTGAGTCAAGACGACCCAATGGGTGGTACCATGCGCTGGCCGATTGCTTTGCTTTATCGGTCAGACCATCCCGTCTCGCACACACACACCATGTCGTGTGTCCATGGCGAGACGCTTGGTAGTACTTGCTTGGACTACTTCAGCTCACGGAGTGCTCATCTGCTGGATTCTTACGTGGGACGGAAAGGGGGGGGCGCGGTGGGTTACTTTAAAGTTGGTTTCGTTTTGGATTCGTTCACACCACCACCACGACAAGTGGACATTGGGGGCAGCCTTCTCCAAAGGTGCGAGGCGACACTTTGGGCGGAGAGTGAAACGTGTTAAACCGGTGTGGAGGCAAATTCCATTCAATAAAAAATACCAATCAACCAGGAGTGCCTTTAAACACGCGTAAGTATAATTATTTACAGCAGGACTTGGCATGAGAGTGGGGTGTGGGAAAGTAGTGGATGGGGGGGGGGGGGTAATTTAATTCATTTCGCACTAAAAGCCAAACCGTGTGTTTCGTTGTTTCGTCGGTAAAGGCGGCGGCGACTAGAGAGAGTTCGCTCCTAAGCTGTGCCCGGGCGCCATGCGCACGCGACAAATTGTACGGTAACATCTCAGCAACATCTCGGCAACATCTGGCTCGCACACGGCCACTCACTGACTCGCTCGCTCTCTGTCTCGGTGTGGGTAGATCGAGGGCCTCAATGTCGCGGGACCATCCGTGACGCCAGAGGCTTGAGACTCGGCCTTACCCGGTTAATTAGCATTGTTATTATTGTTGATGTTGTTGTCATCGTAAATCGTCCAAACACAAATTGAGCACGGGCACGTAAGCACAACTTACTTTGTTTCATCAATCCCCTATGTATTTGCTAACGTGATACATTTTGTTTGACGCTTGAGAACCAAAGGGATGCAAGGCTGCAGTAAAGGTTAATAATGAGACACCACTCCTGGAGATAGACTCGTAGAGGGGTTTGTAACCTTCTACTCCGTAGCTGCATGCGGCTGGTTTTTTTTAAGGACTGCTTCCTGGCGCTCTTTATTAAGGACCGCCGTCCCGTATTCACCAAAACAATAAAAAAATGGTTCTGATTATTTTGGTTGCCATACCCTGGAATAGGTCACCCGTCTCAATGAAGCAGGACCCTCCTGAAACGGAGGCTTAAGATTCAGGCTTACCTGCTTAATTAGCATCGCTGTTATTCGTATTATTGTGATCCCATAGTGATGCTAAATACCATCCTAGAGAGTATTTATAGACGTCCCTCTTTGTGGAGACCTTCCACCAGCAGTGGTGTGAGCGAGTAATTGGAGGTCTGTGCCGAGTATTCTTAGAGGCGTTTTGTTAAGTTGCTTCCCCCTTTATCGGTCCACTGCTGGATGAAAGCCTCCCCAGGCTCTCCGTCACTGGAATTGTTTGGGCACACTTCCTCGCAGAAACTTGATATTTCACAATTCTTCACCAGTTGATCAATTATAAAGACGTTGTACTTTAAATAACGATATATAGATTTTTTTTAAAGTTATAATAATTGCAATGGGTAGCAGAGATTAGTGCAACAAAATCCACTGTTGTACTGCGCTTCTATGCTTCCATATCTACGTTCCTCGCCTTCACCAGCACCCACTGACCATCCCGGCGAGGTATGGCCACATAACTACCACAACTCGCATTGCGTGTGTGGGGGGGGGGGGTCTCATCCAGCAGTGGATGAGGGCAATAGGTCTGTGCACGTACTGGGACTGTACAGCGTGTTTATGAGATATTTTTTTAAATTGTGTGTTTTTTTGTTCATGAGGTAATGTTATAGTCTGAAGGCAGTGATGCACTAAACATGAATGGGGTGACGTCAGGGTGGTTGCGTGTGTGTCCGCGATATGTGTAGAACATTGTATCCGTTGTGTACCGGTGTGGTAAAGCTCCGTCTCCATCAATAGTGTGCCTCATGAGTACCTGGTGCGGTGTGTAAACGTCGCCAACGGGGGAGACAAAGGCGACCGGGCGTGGTCTTGGCCACCCACCCCCTCGTGTGCCGTTCCGGCCTTCACAGGTGCTCGCTAACAGCACTTGCCCCAAGTCTGCTAAGGCTATACGGGGAATATCTCTCTTTGTGTGTGCGTGGGGAGCGGTAGTGTCGCGGTTGGCACGCTATACTACGAACCCGGCGACCCGAGTTCAATTCCCGCTCACGGCCAACACCAGTGGCCTTTATCTGAACCGATCATGGGCCTCCCCTAGGTCGACTCCCCCTCAAATGAGTATCCGGTGCGGTGTGTAAACATCATCACCACTGGGGAGACGAAGGCGGCCGGGCGTGGTGCTGGCCACCCACCCCCTCGTGTGCTGTGCTGGCCTTCGTAGGTGCTCGCTAACAGCACTTGCCCCAACAGTCTGTTAAGGCTATACGGGGGATCTTTGTCCACTAATGATTGAAATCTTCTTTGTGCGTGGGTGATCACCCATCCAATCAACCCCTGCTTAAAGCTTCTGATAATACTGGTAGGAAACGTAGTGGACTGGAAGCCCAACCGGGATTAATTCACAGGAGGCAGGGGATTAATTGTGTATGTCTGTGGATGTCTGTCCACGTCGGAGGGGTGGGGCTGGGTGGAGAGGGGAGGGTAGGGAGGGGCTGGGTGGGGTGGGGTGGGGAGAGGCTGGGTGGGGTGGAGCTGGGTGGGGTGGGGCTGGGTGGGGTGGGGCTGGGTGGGGAGGGGCTGGTCACCCCGTGGTGCCCTTATATGGACTGGAAGCCCAACCGGGATTAATTCACAGGAGGCAGGGAATTATACACTGCACTTTCTGGTGCGACCTCTTTTACACTGCAACTTTCTGGCGTCGTTTTATAATTCTGCTCACTTTTAATTTTGCTTTCTTCTGCGCACGACCCTAACAAGTTTGGCTTAAATATCCGTACATAATTACTTCAGAATTACTTAAATTTCCTACCAGCCCCCTCCGCAGGAATGTGTTTTAAGAGTCGAGGTACATTCTGGGAGATGAGGGCACAGGCCAAGTGCTACTTATGGGCTCTCAAATATGGTGTGTCCTAGGAGTCGGTGTTATTATGAACTGATGATGGATGTTTAATAGAGACTCCTATTGGTCTCGCCGCACTAACATAACATCGACGTGGACGTTTCATTGAAACTGGAAGAACCCCGATGAGTTGTGAAACTCCTTTTCACAGAGGACCAACCCAAATCTGGGGTCGGACGTGATGGACAATTATGGAGGAAGTTACCCGGAAAGATGAATCGAACACCTCGTCAAAAAACTCAATCGAATGTAAACTCGGTCGTACAAACAAAAAAATAAACGGAATCATTTTTGGTAAAAAAGAAAACACAGCTGTAGTTTAATTTTGTACAAAGAGGATATATATATTACACTTGCAAATCCACGGTTGTCAAATTGCAGTTTGCAAATGCGGCTCCAGGTGCACAACTTGATGCTAGTAGCGTCACCAGACTGAGAGCGAGAGAGAGAGGAGAGGACACAACGAGGAGGAGGCGGCTTTGTTAACAAGTCCCAGTCTCCTTCTGAGAACGGTTCAACTAACCGTTTGACGGTCGTTTTTTTTGTTTAAATTGCCTCGGGTTTGCCAGTGGTGCTAAAGAGTTTGGCGAGACAATGCATTGGCTAGATCAGTCGTCGGCAACCAAAATAACAAGAGCCAATTATTTTTTTCAAATTCGGTAGAGCCGCAATGCACGTGAGTACGAGACAATGGTCCGTAATAAATAACTCTCGCGATGCGGTTCCTTGAAGAGCCGCGCGCGTGTTGCCAAGCCCCTGGGCTAGATTGCAGGGGGCACATGAAACAAACCATTTTGTGTCCAGTATTTTCACGGGTTATACCATACGACATTCTGGCCACGGGTAAACGTAATTTGTCTGGAAGGCACATGGGTCGATGGGCTAAACAAAAACACATTTAATTCATTCTTTAGAGAATATTGAATTGGCTCCCCCCCCACCTCCAACCATGATGATGCAGAGCTGCCCGTGAGATGTTTAATGCATAACTCGCACCTATGAAGACGTCACCCCGGAATGGGCTCAATCTCATCAGATCTCGAAAGCTCGGCAGGTTCAAGCCTGGATATTGCTTGGACGTGTGACCACCCTGCGTCCAACAGGTGTCCACTGCTTCTGTGTCTCCGCTTGCAGCCTTCACCAACCATGATGACCTGGGTTTTAAAGTACGGAGAGTCCTCGACTTACGCGTACGATTCATGATATTCTCGTTCGTAAGTCGGGGACTCCATTGTTCAACACGGTATGGGGAGGCATTCGTCCAGCGGTGGATTAACAACGTGGGTGTGCTTTAGATGTGGTATACAGCATAGACATGATTTGCATCGACTTTGGAAAGTCCTGGTTCGTTTTATGGGGTGCGGGGGTGGGGAAATTAAAAACTGGTGATGAAAACGCTGAACGGATGTTGTCGCCGCATTCCTTCCATTCGCAGGACAACTTGGTGGGCACGCTGCTGGCAGTGATTGGAAACATCATCATCAGCATCTCGCTCAATGTCCAGGTGCCCACATCGCCACCGCATCGCCACCACACGGGCACCACACGGGCGCCACAGCCAATTCACAGCAAACAACACGGGCACCACGCGGGCACCACGCGGGCACCGCACAGCCAAGACCTCTATCCAGACAGGGTGGGTGGCCAGCACCACGCCTGCCCACCTTTATCACCCCAGTGCCGTTGTTTTCACCCCACACCGGGCACCCATTTGAGGCCGAGTCGACCCTTGGTAGGCCCGGGACCGTTTACAATTGTTGTCAATGGAGTAGGAATTGAACTCGGGCCACACCGGGTTCATAGCGTAGCGCGCCAACCTCTGCACTACCACTTCCCACAGATACACATTGACCCGCTATTTGCTCACGAAATCAGTAGATAATGTTGCTAAGCTCAGTGTACGAATGACAAACCCTATTGAACGTATGTTTAACTTTGTATTTGCGAACAATGGCAGGGAGTGATGTTGTTATCTCGTGGAAACTGACAAAGGATAGAAACCAAATTAGGTCTTTAAAAATAAATTGGCGGTAAACTAAATTGCTGTACTATAATCGCATTCTTCTACCGTGTGGATTCATAGCAGCGGATTAAAGATGTAATTTTAGATTTGTTATCCACTCAATTGTCTGTTCAGACGCAGAGTTCCTCGTTATTTTTAAAGGAGAGAAGACAGCAGCTGTTGACAAGTGCAGTCGATTGTTTGGGATTCGTGGCCGCACCACTCGCAGGCCGCCGAATCTTCAACGCACCATTTGTGTGTGGCCCGGCCCCGATTCGGTTAATGGTCGACCATTGGCGGCGTGGAAGGTTGAAACTGGGGAGGCTCGATGGTAGGGTCCTGCATGAGATGTCGTGATCATATTGAGCCTGCACAAGCGCAGTACAGGTATTCCTCGATATATGAAAGGGATGCGTTTCTTCAAAGAAACGCGCGTGAAACGAAATTTCATAAATCGGGAACGGCTTTTCCCAATAGTTGAAGGCAAAAAACTAGGGACGTGTTTCGGACGGTCATTCCAAATCTACACCTAACGTAAAAATCTACGCACACCTGAATCACTTTTGACAATACAAAAATAATAATAATAATAAAGAAGATAAATATAATATTCTATGAATTCCTGCAGTTACGGAAGTTTTAAGCCGAAACGTGAATATTAAAACGATCGAGTAATAATTACGTTTGAAAAAAAAAACTATTCACGGAACTCGCCATAAGATCTGCTACATGTCGGAATGGCTGGAGAGGTGATGCGGAGCCGTCGCAGGGACACCGTGACGCTGTCGCGGACGGATGACGTGACCTCCCGGGCGGCTCTTTGTTTGATGACCCCACGGCGCGTGTGGCCGCAGTGAAATTTCGTGAACGCGGAAATTTAGATTTCGTTCATCGAAAAGCGTCCGCAATTTGTCAGCTGGGCTCACGTGAAATTTCGCAAGCCGAAAGTTCGCAAAGCGAGGGATACCGGTGCTGGCGACTAGCTCGGTCGTGAGCCGACTGTTCCTATGCTACTCGGTATTCCGTGGGTTCCGTCATCGGAACAATCGGCAGTTGTGTTCAATTTGTTGACGGGAGACAGTTGCTCTCAAATCCAAACACTGTTTGGATGTCTCGTGGCCAAATCTAAGCGTAGCGAGCAACAGGCTGCGCCGAATCGTGTTCGAACAACGCAACCGGGCAGGTGCGGCTGTTCCCTTCACTCGTGGAAAATGTAAGTGGCCCTTATTGTGAATTGTGGCGAAGTGCAATTTGTTAGTTACATAGCCGAGCGCTGCCCATTATTCGCTAACCCACAGGAGGTACTGCCGAGCAAACTCGTGATGCCCATCGGATGGATGACTTTAACTCACCACGCGGCTACTGTATAATGTAATTGTCAGTTGCTCTTCAATTGCTGAAAAAGACCGAGAGAAAATCCACATCTAAAAATGTTGGGCACATCATTGTGCGTTCGAACCAAAAAGAAAAATTATGAATCAATGTCTGAAAATGTTGGAGGTGTCCAGACCCACCTCCCCCATCCCCTGTCCAGGCCAGATGTGAGCCCCCTCCTCCATGCCCGCTCCATGGCCGTTAAAAAGACCTTTGTGCATACAGTACCTATTGACTTGTTCAAGTTGCCTGCAGCTTGGCAACCAGTGGAGGACACGATGGGGACAGGTAAATACGGAATCTCTCCCGGTGTGTTTTCGGCTCGTGCCGGTACGATGTCCCCACGCTTCTTCAGGAACTGGTTAATTCCGAAAAAAAAAACGAAATGCGGTCAAACCCGAAAGACCCCTGGCTGAGCTACACAGCGCAGCCACGAAACCCTGCGAAACAGCAGCAGCAGGGTGCAGCAGGGTGCAGCAGCAGGGTGCAGCAACGCTCGTACACACGTTTTGATTGAGTCGTGGGGCTTCATTATGAACAGCTCGGAGACCAGGAGTGTATATACTTTTTTCAAACGATTTGCCGGGGTCTGAATTGCAGCTGGGGTGACTCGCTGTTCAGAGGTGGTGGAGGCTGAGTGGAGACCGGGTGGTGGAGGTTGCTGTGGGTGGAAGCTTGCGGCGGTCGCTCTGTGGTGACTGCTTGCAGTCTGGACGCTATTTGTGGCCGTTAACCCTTAACCCTTTCACGTTCCGTACGTGTATGTCATTGGTTTTCTTACGATTCCGTTCTGATGACGTACGTGTATTTCATCGGAACAGAACCGGAATAAAAAATAAAGTAACTTTATCGGTACCGAGGCTCTCACAAGGCCATATGCAGGAGGGCGTGTGGCACAGTTTGGCGCCAGCTATCATAGAGTGTGGTCGCGTCGCTACGGTTCTCTGCGGGTGAGTAACAACTTCTTTTAAAAACAACGGGCGCTCCGCCTCTCTGAATAAAATTAACTCCAAACCGCTCGCGCGTTCCGAGATTCGGCGAAGAACGGGGAACCCACGCCCTGCAAAACTTGCAGTCTCGGAACGGGAAAGGGGTGATAAATATAGAAAAACTAAAACCCGCGCGGTCCCACTTCCTGCAGAAATGTGCCCACTCGCGGGTCTCGGCGCTGGACGGCGAGCGGCAGCGGCCGTACCTGCACAGCAAGCTGTGGTGGACGGGCCTGCTGCTCATGCTGCTCGGGGAGCTGGGCAACTTTGCGGCGTACGGCTTCGCTCCGGTGTCGCTCATCGCGCCGCTCGGTGCCATCACCGTCATCGGTGAGGGCTCACGGGCGTGTTTTGTGCAACTCCGTGCGCGTTAACTATTTTCAAAAGATATGTTTGGCTTTTATTTTATTTTTGAACCAGGTAAGGCCCACTGAGCTATATTGCTCTTTTCTTTTTTAGAAGCGACCTGGCCACAAATTATAGCTCAACGAAGCGGCTTATCATCACGTGGGCATTTATAGCGGCCAAATACTCTGAACGCGCTTTGATTCAAAATCTGGAGGGAAAAACTGGAGGATCCAGGGATAAATTCGCACAACCACGGGGAGAGTGAACACGCAAACTCCAAATATACAGGCGTCGGGGTCGAGATCGAACCCACCACCTCCTGTACACTCGGCGAGGTAGTTAACATCTCGCAACCGCGGTGAGATGGTGTTGACCGGGGCAATATGCCGCAGGATGCGGCTTAAGAACAGTTCCAAATGTTCGTATTAACAATGCAATGAGGTGTTGAGAAGTGTCTCTCTAGCAAAAGTGTTTGGCTCTTGGCACTTGACCTGGAGTGCAGGAAAAACCGTTTCGTGGAGCGATTGATCGGTTGGCTGTGATTGCTCACTTGAAAGACGCCCGTTTGATGGATTGCTGAATTGGTGATTTTGCACGTTTATCATTCAGGCTGCTTGTTTTATTGTCGACCATTGCACCTTTAATTCGAGGACCAAAAAGATTGCACGAGGTTGAGCCCCCTGTGTGACAAATAAATCGTGGCTGCCGTGGTGCCGACGGCTGCCAAAGTCGATGCCGTAGCTGGGCACTACAAATGTATACCGCGAAATCCGACTGGATGTTTGCGTGCGACTCCAGATTTTACACGATCTTAGATGTGGCGGGGGGGGGGGGAGTTAAATGACAGCCTGTGACCAAATCGCCATGAATTCGGCCCGATATCGGCAATCTCGGAAGCTCTCGGCGGGTTTTTAGCCTGGATAGCGCTTGGATTTGGCGACCACCGTGCACCCGAGGTTGTCATAGGCAGCTGCCGGAGCGTTGGACACCAGAGGGCAATGCAGCAAAGTCGATTTGTTGTGCTGAACTCGGCTCTACTTCTACGTTCGTGGCTTCCGGCCTTCGCCGTCTGGCACCGGGGACCGGTGGTTGTTGCAGCACCGTCAAGTTAAACCAACAGCCTGTACGGTTTTGATTTAAAGCTTTCGTGACTGTAGTAATTCATATTCTCAGCTCTTTCGGTAAAGTCACGTTGAAGGGAAACAATAAAATAATAAAATATATATAAAACAATACAAATTCTCACGACGTTTCGACCATAACACAAACGGTCGAAACGTCGTGATAATTTTTATTGTTTTATATATATATTATTTTATTGTTTCCCTTCAACGTGACTTTACCGAAAGAGCTAAGAATATGAAAAAGCCTGTACGGTGTGGAGAGGCCATCACCCATCAGAATAGGAATATTTATACTGGAGGAATCCAATGAGCCGTGAAGTTATTTTTTTACAGACGTCCCGTAAGGGGCGGGTCAGAAAGTTACAAATAACAAACAACATAAAAAAAAACACGACAGACGTGAAAAGTCTAGGAAAGGTAAACAATTCGCACACACACACAAATAAACTCTACCACTTTTATTTTACCAGGTAAAGCCGCCACTGGTCTATCGGCTTCTTTTTCAGAAGCGACCTGGCCACAAATAACCGTGCGCGCAAACAGGGCAGCGCAGCGCGTGTTGAACGGCGTTCAAAATCGAGTCTCACGCGCATCCCTTCCTTGCCCGCTGCGTTTTTTCCCCCGCTTTTTAAGCGAGCGGCATCATCGCGGTGTTCTTCCTCAAGGAGGCGTGCCGAGCGTCGGACCTGCTGGGTAAGGCCCCTGCCAACGCGCCGTCACCTCGACGGCGGCCACCGCCGCTGCACCGCCGTCTCCCACCGCTGACACGTCACTTGGAACAATCGCGCGCCGGGAGCCTCGTCGATAATTTCATTCCTCCGGTGCGAGGAATTAAATTATCGCCCCCTCCACCATCACTCTGTAGCCCGGCCCTTGGACCTGTCCGGCCCCGTCGGATTTGATGCGGTTGCACCGCCTGCGCACACTCGATAGCCATGCCGGCGTTTGAAAAAAAGAAAAATCGCCGAGAAACGCCGTCCATGCGTTGTCGTCGTTGGTGGTGTGCGTGGCCGACCCCTCCCTCCCTCCCTTTGGTCCCCTGCGGCACGCTGATCGTGGCGTTCTTGGCAAGGCGCTGCCCTGGGCCTCGCCGGCACGTACCTGCTCGTGACGTTTGCGCCCAGCGACCAGCAGCAGCTGACGGGCGACAACGTGGTGCAGTACACGATCAGCTGGGCCTTCCTCCTCTACTTGGTGAGCAGCAGAGCTGCACCTGACCCATGTTCTCTCCAAAGCTTGCGAGGGTTTCTCCAACGCAAGTCAAGTCCGTGCGCTCCTTTCTCTCTCTCTCTCTCGGTGAAATTCCAGGCGTGCGCCTCTCCACGCTGCTCTGCGCATCGTTTAGCTTCCGTTCAATCTCCTCCGCCGGTGACCCACGTTTGCGGTCAACGTAATGCACACCGATTTGAAACGTTTTCACCGGGAGGATTTTTGTTGGCGCAAATATCTACCTTTTGTTGTTGTTGTTGTTACAGTTGTTGGAAATCGTCCTCTTCTCCACCCTCCTCTATTTCAACTTGAAGCTTGGCATCACCGACATCGTGGTGTGTCTTTTGCTGGCGGCGTTGATGGGTGAGCACATTTTGTTACCCGATTTTCACGAGGGTCCGGGCGCTCGTACCCCACCCCCCCCCCCCCCCCCCCCCCATCTCGCATCTTCAAAGTAGCACACCAGTGGGAGATCGACGTTTTTTTAAGTTTCGTACTCGCGACGCGGTCATTGGCGAAGGGCCGCCGGTTATTCAGATGAGGACGGTGGTGCTGGTGGTGAATATAAATCTTCACCAACCCACCATCACCCCCCCCCTTCCTTCAGCGTTTGAAGGGCCGCCAAGTTTAGGGGTCACGAATTGATTCAATAATTGATTCGTGGTACGAGAGGATGTGGAAATGTGAGTGAACTTGCCGATGACCGGTACCGGCGGTGTCGAGAGATTGGCCTCTGTGGAGGAGGCTCGTGAAGGACGCTGCTACTGGACAGTTGGAGGCAGTCGTCCTCCAGCAACAACGGAGGGCAGAGGAGCGACGCTCACAACAATGAGCGAAGCGCTGGGCGGCTAAAACGCAGCAGGTTGGCACAGCAGTGGGCACAGGTGGTGCATCGGCCACTCGTCTCGGTCAGTCGACCCATGGCACCTGCTGGTTCTGCCCCGTGACCTCCTGCTAGTGAGCGTTCGACACTTCACGTGGCCTTAAAGTGCGCATAGCCCGGCACAAGCGCCGTGGTGACGTCACCGCCACTTAATCGTGAATAGTGGTGGTTGTTGCGTGCATTGCATCTCGTTTTTGCCGTGGTGACGTCACCGCCACTTAATCGTGAATAGTGGTGGTTGTTGCGTGCATTGCATCTCGTTTTTGCCGTGGTGACGTCACCGCCACTTAATCGTGAATAGTGGTGGTTGTTGCGTGCATTGCATCTCGTTTTTGCCATCTCGTTTGTATTTTTTTTCTCATTTGTATTGTTTCTCGTTTGCTCCACTTCGTCCATACGGTATCATTCGGTCCATGGACATGCCTGTAATATTCGCGGATTTTTACGTGTTCAGAATTTTCAGCGATCCTAAAACGATGACCGTCGATCTAAATGCTGGCATGGTGTTAAACGAGAATGAACGCTAAATTAATTATTTGATGCGTGTTGCTACATGCCGAGTGACGATTGCGATGATGACGGTGGTGGTGCTTGCCCCATTTTTTTATGCACTCCAATGTGGGGGGGGGGGAGGCGGTGAAGGAGGAGGGGGGGTGCCCAGTAAAACTCTCTTGTAGATTCTGCCAATGGAAACAACTCTTCGGTGACGTTGTTGCCCAAAAAAAACTCGGAAGGGCAAAACAGCGGGTGTGGTTTTTCAAAATATGCCAACGTGCTTCCCATTAGGTGTTTACCATTTAGGTTTACCAGGTAAGCCCCCCCCCCCCTCCACTGAGCTGTTATAGCTTTTTTTTCAGAAGCGACCTGGTTCTCACAAACGACAGCTCAACGAGAAGGGGCTTCTCATCATCGTGTGGAAATGTATAGCGGCTAAATAACGATGTGGAGGGGAAAAAAAATCGGAGGACACGGCGGGGGAGAGAGAAACATTGCGAAGTCGATGAAGGAATCCGATATGCTGTACAATTCTTTTTCACGGATGTCCAGTAGGGGTGGGTCGGAGCTTGATGACAACAAACAGTACAAAAACACACTAGGAGTTAAAATTATAGGATAGGTAAACAAATCACTTTAAAAAAATATTCAATGAAAACTAAACTAACGTCGTGCTCAGATTGTAAATGTTGCGGCTTGGCTCTCAAATACACCGGTGTACTGTGCTAGTAACGAATTGGCATGTTCTGTTTAAGTGACAACCCTTACTAATTGGCTGCGTCGGGTGGTGGCGGGTTTAACGACATTTATATATTAACGCGATCTAAGCCAAAACACCTGTCATGTTAAACGAAACTTTTTTACCTTCCCAGATAAAGCCCACTAAGCTGTTAGCTTCAGCACAAGGGATAACTCAACCAAGTGGCTTATCACGTGGAAATTTACAGCAGCAAAATAATCTAAATGCACGTTGATTCTAAATGTGGAGCGGAAAACCGGAGGACCCGGAAGAAAAAAAATTCACGCGACCACGGGGAGAGAGAGCGAGAGACACGCAAACTCCAAATACACAGCAGGCATCGTCAGTGTCGGGATCAGACCCACGACATCCTGTATACCAGGCGAGGTAGTTAACATCTCCTAGCCACCGTGATTATGATGAGAGAGCGAGACACGCAAACTCCAAATACACAGCAGGCATCGTCAGTGTCGGGATCAGACCCACGACATCCTGTATACCAGGCGAGGTAGTTGACATCTCGCCACCGTGATGATGATGAGAGAGCAAGACACGCAAACTCCAAACACACAGCAGGCATCGTCAGAGTCGGGATCAGACCCACGACCTCCTGTATACCAGGCAAGGTAGTTAACATCTCCTAGACACCGTGATGATGATGATGAGAGAGCGAGACACGCAAACTCCAAACACACATCAGGCATCGTCAGAGTCGTGATCAGACCCACGACCTCCTGTATACTAGGCGAGGTAGTTGACATCTCCTAGACACCGTGATGATGATGAGAGAGCGAGACACGCAAACTCCAAACACACAGCAGGCATCGTCAGTGTCGGGATCAGACCCACGACCTCTTGTATACTGGGCGAGGTAGTTAACATCTCCTAGCCACCGTGATGATGAGAGAGCGAGAGACACGCAAACTCCAAAAACACAGCAGGCATCGTCAGAGTCGGCATCAGACCCACGACCTCCTGTATACTGGGCGAGGTAGTTAACATCTCCTAGCCACCGTGGCTTTCCACCGACGGCCACCGTCGGCATCCGGGCTTGCGAATTCAAATGCTTCGGAGGACAAACGGCGCGCGTTGCAGAGCCTTTTGTACGAGCCGCGCGTGTGCTCGAGTTTGTCCTTAACTCGTCACGCTTGGGTCGGCAGGATCTATCACGGTGATCTCGGTGAAGGCTGTGTCTGGGATGGTGACCCTGTCCGCCCGCGGCAACATGCAACTGGACCACCCCATCTTCTACGTCATGTTCGTCGTCATGGTGGCCACAGCGGTGGCCCAGGTCTCGTAAGGAAGCGTTCAATTATTCATTCATGAATTTAATTCGTTGGTTTGTGTTGTCCGCTCCCTGCGACGCGTCCTGCTCTCGCACAAATTCCTGGTGGCGTCAACTCCGGTGATTAGCACGGTTGGCTATGTGCGGTGCGAAATAAGTTCTGCGTAGGTAATAGAAGATCCGTTTCACCGACTCCTGGAGTGTACCCATCGTCATCACCATCGTCAGTGACCGTCACATTCATCATCACCATCGTCATCGTTGGCGATGATCGATTTTCTGGATGAAGGCCGCTCTGAGCCGATCCCATCTCCCATGGTCCTACCATGTCACAATCCACTTAAAATCCGTATGAATTCGAGCCGATTTCACCGCTCCATCTACTTGCTGGATGTGCTGTCTGTCACGTCGGCTCCTTCAGTCGCCACTCCATCCTTAGTCTCGACCATCGGCCATTATCATTTCGAGCGATGGATGTCTCCTGCCCAATCGCACTTTTGATCACAGTCGGTATGGTGATGCCTCTACGTTTCGTATGTTGCGTGAAATGCACGTGCTCATCTTTCTGCACCCTCGATTTACTTCCAAGCGTGGATCCTACCCATGCTTCTCTGAACGTTTCGTCCCTTTTATCACATTTGCGAATGTCCAGTGTTTCTAATCCATGCGTCGTATGTGCCGCAAGTAAAGTTTCTTTAAAAAAATATAATAACAAGTTTAGTAGAGAAAGGTGCTGCACACGTCGAAGCATAACTGGGAACACAGGAAATTAAATGTTCCTATGTTGAACTGCTTTGGCACCGTACCTAGCCAACCGTGCTAATCGGGGGTACGGGGGGAAGGACAAGAAGCTAAACGCAAAAAAACTCTTCTAAAGAAATTAGATTTCAATCCACATTTAAAAGTGCACAGCTCCAAGTGTGCCTTGCGGATCCGTACAACTGCGTAGCCTTTCATGGTTTGCTGCTGCTGCGCAGCCCTCTCACGCGTCTCCTGGGTTGTGCCGCGCGTCGTTCGCCCCACGTACTGTGCGGGGGTGGGGGCGAGCTTCTTAACAAAACGTGGAGCGAAACGTCGGACATCGTGGCCAAACAACACACGGCATAAGCCCCGAAAAACACGCCGCGGGGTGCTCTTGAAAATCCTCGTAACGTTGACGATGGACCGTCTCGTTGGCAGGTTCCTCCGTGAAGCCATGTGCCACCACGACTCAATCCACGTCGTTCCCATCAACCACGTGTTCTTCACCACCAGTGCCATCATCGCAGGTGAATCGCAGGAATCTCTTTTTTTTTTAAGAATCTTTTTTTTTATCCCGGAGAAAAATCCGATGAGCTGTGAAGTTCTTTGTTTTTTCACATGTCCAGGAGGACGGCACGGATGCGCACTTTCCATCTCCTTGGCGTCTACGTTTTGACGACGTGCAGATTTCCTGTTTGGCTGAGAGCACAGCAAAACAAGCGAGTTATTTCTTTGGGCTTTAGCGACTGACTACTGCCTGATGATGCTGATGATGCTGCTGGCCAATCGTTACCTGTCGTAGTAATCATTTGGTCTCGTTCGTTGACATGCCAACTTTATTAATTGGCCATGTCAGGCGGGGGTGGGGGGCACACATTTTACTAAATCTAAACTATTTTTATTTTACCAGGTAAGGCCCACTGAGCATATATAGCAGTTTTTCAGAAGCGACCTGGCCACAAATGACAGCTCAACGAAAGCGGCTCATCGCCTGGAATTTCACGGCAGCCCAAATACTCTAAACGCACACTTCAAAAATTCCGGAGGGGGGAAAAAAACCCGGAAGACCCGGAGAAAAATGCGCGCGATGAGCCACGACAAAGACCAATGCCGCGTTTGTAAAGAGTGTAGCTGCGGGGACGAGCCGCTCTCTCGCGTGGATTTCCACCACCGCACGCATCCACGAAACACCGCACCGCGCAACCCCATCGTGCATGCACCGCCAAATATCCACAACCCTCGTCGCAAAAGGCTTTTTTGGGTTCGATCGCGTCACTGTAAATGATTCGTTAAAAACCCCGCCGCCACTCGACGCGGCCAATTGGCGAGGTTCGCCAGGGAAAACAAAACGCGCCAATTTGTTGCTGCTTCAGCACGCCGGTGTGTTGGAGAGTAAAGCCACGGCATTTTTAGGTTTCGTCTCTGGCGATTGCTTTGTCAGGCGATAACCAGAATTGTGAAGAAGTCTTCCTGTTCCGTTCTTGAACGGAGGGAGTAAATGTCATGTCATCACTGCGGACCTAGCGGGCGTGAAGACTAACCCCCCCCAAAAAAAACCTTTAATGGATAATATTGGTCGCGAAAACCTACGCATTAAATCCACTCCCTCCGTTAGTTTTACTTGCGGTGTTACATTCTGCGCAGATGCACCTGCGGATCTCGTTTTAATTTTGCATCGGACTGGGAGACGCGCGTACACGCACTCATGTAAATTCTATGCACACATGGCGATGCAGTCATGTTCTCGTGTTTCTTCAGGGGCCCGGGTAAATGTTTCATTTAACCTGTAACGGCGAACACACTCGATATAAACTATTTTTTTTAAACACGTTTTTTTTTTATTTTACCAGGTAAGACCCACTGAACTGTTTAGCTCTTTTTCAGAAGCGACCTTGCCACAAATGATAGCCTGACAAAGTGGCTTATCACGTGAAAGTTTAATAGCGGTGAACTTGCTTCCGGATCCGGCAGGCAGTTTGTTATAACCATTCAGTGGGGGGGTGGGGGGGGGGTGTCGCCGATTTTGTGTCGGATTCTGATGGCTTGGGGCTTTAGTTTGTGCTGTGAGATGGGCCAGGAGATGGCAGGACACGGGCGGATTGAATCCCATCGGTGCAGAGCATTCCGGCGTGGTTTTCTCCGGGTAATTCTAGATTTGAAGTTTTCGTGACTGCAATGATCCATACTCTTTGGTTCTTTCGGTAAAGTCACGTAGGTTAAAAAAAAAAAAAATCAAGTTACTCAAATCACGACGTTTCGGAGGCAACACAAGCTTCCGTCATCAGGTGTAACTAGCACAGCAAAATCACTGTAAACGGAGAGCTAATTTTCTACCTACGTGACTTTACCGAAAGAACCAAAGAGTATGGATTTCTCCGGGAACTTTGGTTTCCATTTCACTTGCCGAGGTCTCGGCTTTAAAGTCGCAGCGGCACGCGAGCGCCACTGCTCGAGGGAAAGCTTCCGCCATAGAGAGCCCGAGATGGGGTCCCTATTTTATGTATTTGGCCTACTCTTCCACGCCGGCCAGACATCTTGAAAGAGCTTATTTTATTAATTGGTCTTAATTTTAATATAAGCTTTTATGCGCTTTAAATTAAACCGCTAAACTAAAGGTCACGCGTTTTTCTTAGCTTTGGGCTTCATGTACATTTTATTTTGCGTGAAGCGTTCCTGTGAATGTGAAGTGGCCTATCTAAGCAGATTGATTGGTTCATTGTTTGGCAGACTGGTTTGTTAATTGGATGGACTGGCTGATTGGCTGGTTGATTAGTTGATTGGTTAACGAAAGGGTTGATTGTTCAGTTTGTTGATTGTGAAGTTGATTGTTCGGTTTTTGATTGTGTGCAGGCGCGATCTACTACCAGGAGTTCTACGGCACCACCGTGCTCAACGTGACCATGTTCCTGTTTGGGTGAGCGCTCTCGCCGTTATTCTGCTAAACGGCATGTTAGGAAAATTCGCGTGTGTACGCACGGATCGTTTACCACTCGGCAACGCGCGCTCGCCTCTGAAGGGGCAGTACAACATCGCATATCCTCGGCGGCTTTTGGCTGGCCATCGAACAAAGGCGGTCACCGCATCGCACCTTTTCGGGTGTGCTTCTGCGGCCGTCTGGAACGCTCTTCCTTCCGATATTAGGAATCTACTGGCGCTACGCACTTTGAAATCATCTGGCTTGAAAACTAATTTCTTTAGAACTACTTTTCGTGTTTAGTTTGTCCTTCCCCTGCACCTCTTAATTTAGCACAGTTGGCTATGTACGGTGCGAAAGAAGTTCTGCATACTCGCAAAATGGACATTGCCACGCTCGCTAACAGACACCGCTGCACCCACAGATAGACGGACGAGCGCTGACATGCACGCGTGGGGCGCCTTGTGTTTCACAGCTGCTTGCTCTCCTTCATGGGCGTCTTCCTCATCACTCGCAACCGGCCCAAGCCTGCGGCTCCCACGCCCTTCGTCAACATGGACATGTTCAAAGGTAGGGGGCGCCTCGCTTTGTGCGCTGCCACTGCCATGGTTGCTGCTGCTGCTGCTGTGTGCGTCTAGCGGCTGGTAGGGGAGCAAAGCTGGTGCATCTGCCAATCATCTCACTCGGTCAACCCATGGGCACCCGAGTCTGTCACCGTGACCTCCTGCCAGCAGCGAGCGTTCGACACTTCGCATTGCCTTAAAGTGCACCTGGCCTGGCACAGTCGCCGTGGTGAAGTCGCGGCCGCTTGGTGGACGAACGGCGGTTGTTGTCGTTGTGAGAGAGCGGTTTCGCAGCGGTTAGCTCGCTGCGCTGCGAATTCGGCGACTTGGGATTCATTCCGGGGTCATGCCCAGCATCTAACGCCAGTGGCGGCAGCTTGTCCGTCCTCTGTCTGCCCCGCGGTGAATTCAGCCTTTAAATGAGCACCAGGTGCGGTATGTAAACATCGGCACTTGAGACGACAAGGATGGCCGGGGGCGTTCCTGTCCACATCGCCGCCTGTTGCCCCAGCAGTGTGTTTAGGCTATGTGGGTGATCTTTTGTCTCCGTTTAGCGACATAAGGTAAGAGTTGAATGCCCAAATAAGGGCATCCGGGGAAGATGGATCGTGAGTTTCCCAAACTAATTTCCTGTGACCCGACCCATCGTGTTGACCAGATTTCTCTGCTCATGTTTACCAATTTTCTCTGTTCAAATGTTCCGTCCTGAACTGTGGAAGACTGAGCCCCAAGTCATTACACGCTGGATGCTCCGGACGATTGCCGAACGATGGCTCGGCCATAACGCGGAGAAGCGTCGAGTCTAGTTCAGAGTTCTGTCTACACCTTGTTGGATGCACGCAAACAGAGACGTGACAAAGATACCCCCCACCCGATAGCCTTTACCAGACTGCTGGGGGCAGGCGCTGTTCGTGAGCACCTGTGTGCGTGCGCACACGGACAAAGATCCCCCGTAGAGCCCTTATGAGATTGTTGGGGCAAACACCATTTTAGCCAGTAGCGTCTATGAAGGCCGGCATGACACACGAGGGGGAGGGTACCCAGTGCCACTGCCAATCGCCTTTGGTCTCCCGAGTAGCTATGTGTACACACCACACCAGGTACTCATTTGAGACTGAGTCGACCTAGGGGAGATTCAGATAATTGAGTCACTGCTCTTGGCCGTGAGCGAGAATCGAACTCGGGTCGCCAACCACTGCACCACCGCTCCCCACGTACACACACCCCTTTTCCCACTTGTTAAATTCAGTCTGTGTTCCGTACGTCGCTTATTGTTGGGCAACATTTGCGTGCGATGACTTGATTCGTATCTGAACGCTGACGATTGCTGAACGTGCAACGGTGGATTGCGTCGGGTCCACAGGGTGTGTGTGACCTGGAATAAAACTAACCAGGTCTGCACCTAAACATTTCCTCCACAACGCAGTGATCACAATGCGTAGTGAAATAATAGAGTGGGCCACCAATTTTCACGAAATCTCGATGCACGCACCACGCTTTTTGTATCGCCTCATTCTCCCCTTACACAGAAGGGGCGCGACTGTCAAGAGAAAGATGATCGGGCGTTATGCAACCTTCGCCAGTATCATCACAACGCTCTGTGCTCGCAAGCTTGTGCGCAGGGCGCACGTTGCTTGCGTAAGGGGGAAGTAGATTGGAATTGCATCGAAGAAGCGGGTGAGCTGGCTGGGTGGCTCTGATGTTGGAGCCGCTGAGACGAACACCAGCCAAAGCGGAGACGAGAATGATAGCCTCTCGTCTTAATGCCCGCGTGCGTGTGTGAGGTGGGGGGAGTGGTAGTGTGTAGTAATTGTGTAATCCTAATAATAAGAATATTTTTATATAGCGTCATTCATGATAATTTCATCCTATAACGCTTTACGTTAATTTTATATCGGCATCATGTCCTTGTATACAGCTTCTATCAAGCAAACGGTAGTGTAGCGGTTATCGTGCTGCGCTATGAACCTGGCGACCCGAGTCGATTCCCGCTCACGGCCATCGCCAGCAACGACTATCTGAACCGGTTCTGGGCCCTCCCCTAGGTCTACTCGGCCTCAAACGAGTACCTGGTGCGGTGCGTAACTACATCGCCGCTCGGCGGGGCGTGGCGCTGGTCACCCCCCCCCCCCTCCTCGTGTGCCGTGCGGGCCTCCATCGGTGGTGGTGCTCGCCAACAGCACCACGTACTTCCCCGTTGTCCCGTTGCGTGTGCGCGCGGCATTCAGACATCCGCAAGGTGATGAGCGAGAAGGAGCCGGTGCAGCCGGAGCTGGGGGGCTCGGCGCTCTACGGGGCCCTCTCGGCAACCCAGCAGCCACCGCCGGCGCCCGTCCAGTTCCCCCTGGGCGACGGTGACCTCCGTGACCCTTCGCACTGACGGACCCCACCTACGGATACCTTCGCCAGCCTCGCCGCGTATAACTGACGGAGCAGGCAAGGGAAGTGGGGTGGGGGGGGGGGGATGGCCTGACGGCACGCTCGCTATGCCGCTGCACGTGGCGGATGCCTCTCTCGCACGTGCCTTGCGTGTTGTTGTTGTTGTCGCTGTTGCCGCTTGGGCGCGGGGGCTGACAGCGCTGTGCGGGATGCGTGTCTGAAGGTGGGCGGTGTAGGAAGGCACCAGGTATTCATCGATGCCGCCACTCCCCCCACTCCCACCCCCACCACGAACGGTTTGACGAATCGTCGTTCGACGTTTCGGAGGCCGTAATTCGACTCGAGAAATTGTCGCGGCTCCTGATGACGTCGGGGTCATCCAGAAAGCTCGGCGGGTATGGCGAAAATCTCGTGATCGTTCTTGGGCGGGTGACCACCATCAACTCGGGCTTTGCCGGTTGGCACTGTCAGCATGAATCCGTGAGGTGGCGAGGGAGAGATGGCAGTGGTGAGTTGTCCGTGTGCTGGGTTTTTCTCTGGGTTCTCTGCTTTCCACCCCACCACCCCCCCACCCCTCCACCCCTCTCCACTCCGCGAAGCATCCGAGACAGTCTTTGCCGGGCGAGTGAGTTGTTCCGCGTCACGTTTTTCCGGCCTCGTTCTGTCCGCTGCCATTTTTAACCCAGGTGTACCACGCATTGAGCCACACGACTTCCACAACACGTAAATCGTTGATCGATGAAGCGCAGTGCGTCTCGCTAAGGAGGATGCCAAGCAGGGCGGTCGAGGTTGGTTTGACGGGAGGGGTGCCACTGGGAGTTGGGTCCCGTCCCCCGCAACACCCCCGTGCATGGCAGATATTTATCGGTGCCGTTTAACCCCGCCTGGCATGCGCTAATTCACGATACTCGATATGCGGCACGCGTATGCGGTTAATTGTATTACTGTCTTGGCAGTCACACACCGTTTGTGTATATTTTATTCTCTGTCAACATGTGCCTGTAAAGAGTTGCCTATTGCCTTGTTATGTTTACATTTTCTGTATGCGTGTTTGTGTATATATCACTTTATATATATAAAAACAAGAGAATTCTCACTGCTCGTGAAAATATAACATGTGTGATGTAGATAGGATGTGTAACGAATAAAAGGAATACTAATCGTAGGTATATATTGTTCTGGATGCAACCTTAACTAATGAGATGTGCAGTTTGCAAATAACCTGCCTTTGTGGTTACACAAATCCAATTCACGCCGTTGCTAAAAAAAAATCGCATTTTTGAATGGTGCATTTCATGAGCACTTTACAAGCATCTCCTGGAGTGGAAATAAAAATGGGATGATGCAGTGAATAATGATGCGACTGTGGTTTCTCCTTTTTTTTGTGTCGATGGGAGTATCGACAACAGGTCTCGTCGACTGATGGTGCACGCACGCACGCCAGCAGTGGTTGCAGCGTCTTAAGCTTGCACAGATCTGACACTTTCAATTGATGTTGAAAGTATTATTGCACAATATTATGCAATATTGTGCTTTCAGATACAATGAAACCAAACTACCTTTTTTTTCTTTTACCAGGTAAGACCCACTGAGCTATTTAGCTTTTTTTCAGAAGCAACCTGGCCACAAATGATGGCTCAACAAAGTGACATCTCGTGGACATTTATTGCAGCCAAATGCTCTAAACGCTTGATGTTCATTCTTAAATGTGGAGGGGGACATACCGGAAGACAGGGAGAAAAAACCACGCAACCACGGGGAGCGAGAGCGAGGCGAGAGAAACGCGCAAACTCCAAATATACGGCGGGATCGGGATCGAACCCCCACGGCGTGAGGTATCCATCCACGGGCTGGGAGTGTCTTCGTGGGCCTGAATCGAAGAAGTTCCCGGAAGAAACGTGGATCGAAGCATCGGACTTCGGTGACGAATTACAACCCCAGCGGTGCCGCGACGGGAGAGCGAAATGATGGCACAGCCACGACGCAGGAGCCGTGCCGACTGAGAAGTTGAGAGGCGCCGGGCGCAGGCCCCAAAGCGCGAACCCCCCCCCCCCCCCTTCTCGTGGGAGCACAAATGGCGTGGCTACGTCATGGTCAAGTGCCCTCGTGGCTCCTGAGAGCTGGGCGTGTGGCTAGCCGCCAGTGGCACGTCTCCTGTAGCGTCCGATGCCTCTCAAATGTCATGCCGCACCATCCCCCGCTGCTGCTGCTGCTGCTGTCAGCTGTTTAACCATGAAATGCCACTGGTTTTGTTTTGAATGCGTCATGGAAATCCGTTTATGTTTAAATCACCCGGCATCTATCTCCACCGATCTCGTGAAGCTTGGCGGGATGGAGCATGCACAGCGTGGCTACCATGCACAACAAGTTGTTATATATAAAATAAAGGTATATATGTATAACCTTTAACCGTCGGGATTTAACAACACACATTTACACGATACAACCCAAAACACCTTTATCTTTCGCGAAAGCCCACGTGTTAAACAGGTTGTCATAGGTGGCGGGCCTACGTTGTAGAAAATGGGGGACGGTGCACACCTATCCATTGTACTGTACTTCTGTGCTCCCACGTCCACGTTGCCTATCTTCACCTTCCCACACTGACCGGCATGGTGAAGTATGGCCAAATGTTCGCTGCGACGCGTGCAGCAGTGGATTGCCAAATGGGTGCACGGTTAAATGCACGCGTGCAAATGTTTTTTGAGAAGCGATTTTTATAATTCACCGAACACCCAGATGGGGTGCTGGCTAATTGGGAAAACTCGCATGTAATGTATTTTCTTCATCCTAATTATGTTACGTTTTGTGAAAACCTATTTGCACGGTCGTGTTGCCGTGTGGCAAGTGATGCCTGACCTTGTCCTGGGCCATCCCTTCACCAACCATCACTGACCACCTCCGATTAGCACGGTTGGCTACGTACGGTGCGAAAGAAGATTAACATGCATACATACGACCAGCACGGTGCGGTATGGGCAAATAAGGAGGCCTTCATCCAGCAGTGGATTGACAACACGTTGTAATGTATGATTACGACTGATTTACACGATGATAAGACAGCTAAAATGTGTCGATGCGTGGAAAACTGACCATCTGTGATGTGTGTAAAAGATCAAAGGTCAAACCCGGCAACTGCCCTGCTCACGCCACGACTGCTGCTGGAAGGCCCTCCCACTATTTTGGTCTACTCTTGCCACGCTAGGCCCAGATGTCTTTTGAAGAGGGGGTCATATTTACCCGTATTTACCCCAACACACGCGACCAGCCGATCACCTACGCGTGGTGTACACAGCGGTGGTGCTCAGCCCTTCTTGACTACCGTGACCCACCACCACCCCCGTGTTGAATTCGGCTTCAACCGAGCATCTCCCTAGCATGACCCAGCCATGGATCTGAGAAGATAAATGTGCGAATAATGAACATCAATATTGTAACCATTTGTCGAATTGTGTGAGGTATCCTAACTAAGGTTGTAACTGCAAGCGAATTTTATAAAAAATAAAAACTTACGCGTGACGTAATTTGTTCACGCTCGCCTATTACCCTTGGAAACCGAATTGTTTACGATTTAATGAGTTCAGAAAGTTTTTTTTTTTATATATCGTTATAAGTTACCATGTTTTGTTTCATCGTAGTTTTATGTTGTCAGAATCACAAGGGATTATTCACCAACGACTCGAATGCACGATATAATTTCACCTCGCGCGGACCCCCTGGGAAATTGCCACGTGCCTCCAGGGATCCGCGTACTCCCGGTTGCGAACCACTGGTGCAAGAGGATTTATTTATGCTTCTGGGTGGACACCGGCGTGGGGGGGGAGGGGGGGAAAGGTGAAAGATTTAAGAAACGTGCCCATTGCTTCAACTGCCGCACCTGGAGATCGATCCCGCGAATCTCTGCACTGAGTCCAGTGTTACGGTGGCGAGATGTTAACTACTTCGCCTGGTATACAGGAGGTCGTGGGTTCGATCCCATCTGACGCGTGTTATATATTTGGAGTTTGTGTGTCTTCTCTTCCCGTGGTCGCGTGGATTTTTCTCCAGGTCCTCTGTCCTCCACCCCTCCCTCCATCATTTAGAACCAACATTCGTTTAAATTATTTGGCCGCTATAAATTTTCCAAATGAGAGACCAACTTTGTCGAGTTACCAATTGTGGCCAGGTCGCTTCTGAAAAAGAAAGAAAATAGCGATATAGCTCAAGTGGACGTTGCCTGGTGAATAGTTTTAACACGGAGGAGCAACGTGCAATCAGATTCACGAGAGGCCACATTCGTCCCACGGAATGAATGAATGCAGAGCGCAGATTTATTTGCGAGTGCAAAACCGCGTTTCACCCGTGAAGCCTGAGACGTTTATCGCGTTGGCCTCCGTGGGTATGAAAGGAACACTACGAATTGCCAAGACAATTCGACACCGTGTGAGTGTTATGAAACAAGTGCGGACAATTATACGAGTTAATAAATCGACGTCTGCGCTCATTGTTTGACAATGAACGGGACATTAATCTCTGTTACACACGTTTTCATCTACGCTTCGATGCGTGCATTCTATATCCATGAGTCTCTTTCAATGCTGACGCCACTTTTCATGGGGCGCTCTTTGACCATTCTTGACCACGCTGGTCGATGCGGCTGCAATCGAACCCACGTCGTCAGGGTTCACGGCTCGGTGTGCCACTACAACGTGTTACGATAAAGTCAGCTTTTTCATGTATTATAGCACGTCTTTCCTTTTTTACTTATTTAGTAGAGAACATTTTGATTGCCAGCGTGATTTTGCAAAAGTGTGCACAGATGTTATTTCTAGAATTGGTGTACTTTGCAACTCATTGGCCTCTTACCTGATGCTCAATGAGCGGGGCTGATGATGAAACAATGGTTTAGTCGTAGAATTGTCATTGCCGGTGGTATTAGCACTGACGATGTCGATAACGGCGATTGGTGGGGATGGCGGTGGTGCAAATGATGATGATCGTAGTGGTGGTAATAGAAGTGGTGTAGATAACGATGATGCTATTAGTAGAGATAGGTGGTGATGATTGTTCTGATGATGATTGTGGTGGTGGTTGCTACGGGGTGGTGCATCAAACCACACCCCGCAGGCCAATCGTAACCAATGCGCACGTGGACCTACTGCGAATTTGCCCCGAGTGAGCGGAACGTGCCCCGACCGGTTCCGCTGCTCGCTCGGCATGAACGCCGAGTTGCTGATGCTAAAGCACAGCCGCTCCTGAAATGCGGTGGGGGGAGGGGTTTACAAAGTTTCCCCAAAGAGCAGAGTCAAGCCACGCCCACGGGAGTTTAAAAAGCGCACCAAGCATAGGACGTGGAGGTCCAAGGCAACGAGCCACTGGAACAAGAAAGTCATGTCCAACTTACGCCCCTCCACACCGGAATTAAATAAAAAAACCTCCCAATACATTCGACGATCACACTGTGGCCCTTAAAAAATATATATCATAGGCAACGTTTCGGACAATGGCTCTTATTCATAGCACATACATATAGGGACTAGAGAGACAGAGTGGATAATAGACGAGTGGTCTTGATTGGGGTGGTGGCGCTGAACCAAATGATTGAGCAACACGAATGTCGTGCGCCATTGGCAAACCTATTTATTAGTATTCACCAGCAACATTTGTTTTAGGCAAGTTCTGGTTCTACATCATTAGACCTCCTTTGCCAGTACCAAAATGTAATAATAGGGTTTTCCCCTTTTTTTCTGGCAACAAAACTGAAACCTTTTTACAAGGATTCATGTCAAAATGCAAACAAAAAACATACTATGATAATATATGCATTGTCCTTGAAACTGATTGGTCCACACCAAGGGATGGCTTTCTTTTGAGCCTCGACCCAATTTGTTTCATCTGGTCGAACACCAATTGGGTCGAGGCTCAAAAGAAAGCCGTCCCTTGGTGTGGACCAATCAGTTTCAAGGACAATGCATATATTATCATAGTATGTTTTTGTTTGCATTTTGACTGCAGGTAATGTGGTTAATGCAGACATGAATCCTTGTAAAAAGGTTTCAGTTTTGTTGCCAGAAAAAGGGGAAAATCCTATTATTAAGTTCTGGTTCGTTTAGCCTAACTTATCAACAGAGCCAGGCTTGTTTCACAACAACAATAAATGCTGATTCTATCTTATTCTTTCCTTTGGCAATATGTTCAGGTGCTAAATTACAATGTAGAGGAGATCTGCTAGCCAGGCGGAGAGGGCCTCAGGGGAGCCCAGCTGAGTTACCCGATGCTATCTAGAGAGCAGGGCCGGATTAACCCTAAGGCCCTCATTTTCGAGGCCCCTTTAGGGCCCTCCATTTCACGTTAAAGTAACAGCTGAGTGATGGGAGCG